ACCTGAGTCAGGAGGCCACTTTTTATTTCCAACCACAAAGTAAACATAGTATTAAGTACATAGAACATGGCTTTTCCATTAAGATTAGTGGCTTGCAGGTTTTGTTTGGCTAATAGGATTTTAAGCCTGTCTGTTTCTTTGTGTAGTACATTGATGGTATAGTTCTGGTCCGAGCAAGGTGTAGTTTTTAAAGTTAATTATTTGCAGGTGCAAGGGAGGTACCATTTGAATTTTCTAGGTTAACAGCTATCAAAAAGAGCTGGATCACTGAGCTGATCTTACTTTAATAAATGTTCCAAGAATTTTAAGGATTTCTAATTAATTAGAATGTATTTTAATATTTAAAAATACATAAAACCTATTTTATTTATAATTGCAGTATTAGCGTCCCTTGCTTTACAGCACACCTGTGATGTGGAGAAGTATCTTGATCCATTTTACAGAATGGAGTTTCCTGATTCAGGAAAGTTGCTGAGCCAGGAACTGAACTAAATATTTCTTGCATTGCAGCTCAGTGCTTTAACGCCAAGCCCATCAGCTTCTCTCTCCTATTTTATTTCCAATTATTTACAGAATAGGGTGTTCCTTCAAAATCATGGGCAGCAAAGTTGAATTTGTTTAATGATTTCAAAGTAGAACTAGGGAGAAAGATTTTCCATCTCACTAAAAAATTCAAGATTTTGAAAAAAATTGCCCTCAAGCATGATAGAAAGTCACCATTTCACAATTTGTCACCAAATCAAATGCCGAAAATCAAAAATCATTTTTGGGTCAGCTGAAATGTTTGGTTTTTTATTTCAACACTTTTTAATATCAAATGCATTTCTAAGATTTTTTTTTTTTTAATAAAAACTTTTCATTCCAAAAACATTGAAATAGGACATTGACATTTTAAAATATTTCCCACCCAATTGTTTAGAAAAATAAGTTTTGTCAAAATTGATGCAGCTATATAGTTTTCTCAAGGCAGCATTTTCCAATAGAAAAATGTTTCAGTGAAAAATTTCCAACCAGTTCTATTTAAAACTAACCTCTTCCCTGTTTTTATTGGTGAGCCACCTGAAGCTTGCTCCTACTATCTTTATGCCTAACTTTTATTTATTTGAATAGTAATAGAGAGGAAGCCATGTTAGTCTGATCTTGGTAAAACAAAAGGAAAAAATATATGTAGCACTTTAAAGACTGAAGTGCTACATATTTTTTCCTTTTGTTTTACTCATTTGAGAAGTCACTGGAGTTACTCACAATAGCAAAAGTCAAGCAAGCACATAAGTGTTTGCAGGATTGAGGAGTTGATTTGCAGCCCGGGCGTGCATCACCAGGATTAATACACTTGAGAGACCAGTGTGAACTCAAAGATTAAAATGTCATGGAAACAAAAGCCTGACTCTTACTGGAGGAATAGTTTATTTTCCAAGGTTAACCACTTTGGGAGTAGCTGGGAAGTGGCAGGTGCAAGAGAGGGGGGCACGAAAGGTAGAGAACAGAATGTTTATTTTAATTACCGCATTTTGATTCTGGATCAGGCTAACCTGTTGAGGTCTCTTTTGTGGGTCTGTATATTTTAGGTAATTTAATTTTACAAAAGATTAGAAAGCCTTTAAAGTACCTTCAATAGGTGTTACAAAAAGCTTAATTTTCATGTTCAATTTTTATTTTCTTCAAAACAAAAAAAGCTTTGAAGTTTCAATTTTAACTTACATTGATTACTTTTTATTTGTACTTATTTCCCCTAACTTTTTCATTAGGAAAATAAATCAAAGCAACAATTATATTCCTGGGTTAATTACTTCCATTTTTCTTAATTAAAAATGGGAAGTTTTTGAAGGGCAAAAGAGACATTAAAATCATAGCAAGGAGTATATAAACAAAATTTACTAGTCAACACTTTTTCTACAAGATGTGACATTTTCAATGTTTTGTAATTATTTCTGTATATTTGACTTTTTTAAGCATGTTTCTAAACAAGATAGCTTTTGGTTAGCGAAAGAGAATGAGTTCCAGTCTCTCTCTCTCAAGAAAGGGTCTTTGGATGATTATTTATAAAATGCAAAAAATAGGGTGGTTTAAAATACACTTAAACAGTGTGCAGCTCAGAGGTTTTTTCATTCTTACATAATATATTCAATGCTTTATTAAAATAATGCACTTGTTAAAATGGTGGAGTCCACACAAACACCAACTCAACACACAGAAGACTTGAGCACATAATGGACAAGAACAGAACATGTAGTCCGTGACCTCCAAAAGCATAAAGTTAAAAAAATAAGTTCACCACACCAAGTTGTTTGAAAGCCAGAAGAGAGGGTTCAGGAAAGATTTATTTCAGGAAGATGAGATCCACATAAATTATGGGTGGTACAGGTTGAACCTCTCTAGCCTGGCACACTCTGGTCCAGCAACATCCATGGTTCAACATGGTTTTAGTTAGCTGGATGTTCATGTGCCATGTATATGGCAAAGTTTCCCGCAGTCCATAAAGTTTGTTTACAGCCACCAGTCCTGGCTTTCAGTGTTGTGTTATTTAGCTCTAATTTACCTCTACATGTCTTCTAAGAGCCCAGTAAGCAGTGGAAGTGTTGGTAATGCTGATAGACAATATTGACCTCCCGTGGTTTGGCACTGGTCAGGTCCCAACAATGCTGGACTAGAGAGGTTCAACCTGTAGTTAGTTGTTTGATGACGTTCTGTATAAGTTATGGTTTGAGGTGTAAGGAGGGTTTTTTTCTGTGTTGAAGTAGGTTCTCAGCGTATTTGAGTGGCTCGTTTCTTGATAAAATTAAAAACCACCTGACAGTTGTGGGACTACTGTTTTATATTTTAAACTATATGCTTTTTGCTAATATAATATTATAAAAACAGATTTATCCAGTGTAGGTAGTTAGATGAGAATTAGGGATGTAAAATCCCAGTTAATAAGTCAACCTGTTAAATAAACTTTAAAAAACTACAAATAGTCTGGTAGCACTTCAAAGACTAATAAAACATGTAGATGGTATCATGAACTTTCATGGACAAAACCCACTTCTTCAGATGACCGGAGTATAATGAGTCCAGATGCAATGATAAATAAGGGAAGGAGGGGGGAAGTGAGGCAGAAAAAGAGAGACAGTAAGTAGATAAACCTTAAGAAACAACAATCTAGCAGCACTCTTAGGACAAACAAAACATGTAGATGGTGGGTAGATAGTTCAAGTAGTTACAGGAATCTGTTATCCAACCAACTAAACAATGGAGGTGCTAATGGTTCATAAGTTATTAAAAAGGTGGAAGATAGTTTGAGAGCCATCCAATATCCTTATGTAAACCACTAGCATAAGAATTAAACGTGTGAATGAAGTTAAGTTCCAATCCTGCTCTGTGTATTTAGCTTGTATCTGACCTATTTCACTGGTGAAGCATCCTTGTTTGGGGATGACCATTTTAAGTGCGTTAAAGGTGTATTTTAGAGATGTTAGATATTGGGTAATTGATTATGTAATCACACAAAGTATTGCTGGTTACACAACTATTCAATAGTCCCAGGGATGGGATGGCAGCCATTGCATTCTGGCCTCATGAGTCACATGCCACCCCATACTCTATCAGAGGCAGCAGTGCGGGGTAGCAGGCGGGAGCTGGTCCGCGAGTGGAGCTAGTTTAAAAACTAGCTCCCTGTGCAGATCGGCTGCCTGCGTGGGGTCCAAACTCCTTTCCGACAGAGGCTGTTGTCAGGGACCAGCCTCTGTCCACAGTGGGCTCAAGCTCACTGCCAACAGAGGCTACTCCGTGGAAGGCAGAGCAGCCTCTGTCCACGAGGAGTTTGGACGCCCCCAGACAGGGGCTCCTACCATGAAGTAGTCTCTGCCCATAGTGGGCCCAGGCTCACAGCAGCCTCCCTTTGGATAGAGGCACAGCATGGTGGGAGGGGGGAGGAGCGGGAGGCAGGCAGCACCATGGAACCAATGCTGCGGGGAACCAGCTTTTAAGCCAGCTCCCCCCAGCACCGGCTCTTGCTTCCCCTCTGATAGAGAGGCAGCAAGCAGGGAGGAAATGCAAATAGTCAATAAGAGTAAGCCTAGGCTTACTGGTTAATTGCATAGTGAACTACTCATTTACATCCCTAGTGTATCTCCCAGACTGTCTCCCTGAAGCATATTCTTAGGTATCGGAGTACCTGGCTGTAGGTAGCTGATTTCTTGGTGTATTGGGATAAACACTGGCTCTGTGAAAGTTACTGTGGTGATCAGTGAGTTTCTTGTATTAGTTGGCTGTAGGGTTCCATTGCTGAATATCCAGTAAGTTGATGCTGGTATGGGAGTGTGCCAGAGATAGTTACCAGGATGGGAGATGGTTGTTGAAGTTGTGGTGGAAATCCAGTGAGGGAGTTTAAGTTGTTTGTCCAGAGAATGAAAGTATCATTGATGTATCTCAGGAATATCTTCCTTTTTATGGTGTATTTGTTCAGAAATTCTTCTTCCAAGGTAGCCTATAAAGAGATGGGTACTAGGATGGCTCCCCAAAATACCAATGTTAGTTCATGGTTTGGACAAAGAGTTTGATGTTGAACCTTGAATAATGTCTGAGAACACAAGCAGGTAAGACTCTTCCACAGGATTGTGTGGGGCAACTGGAAATTGCCCCATGTGTCTAAAGTCAGAGATAATTCCCTTAACATCCAGAGAGAATACAATGGAGGTCAAGACTGCTGCCTAAGTTTTAACTAGAGGGATCTCAGTATTGAGGTAGTCAGTACAGCTGCTGGTGACATAAGGAAATATTGCATAGTAGACAGGGACTGTTCTGGGACTCAGGAGACCAGGATTCCATTCCTGGCTCTGCCACTTCTTTGCTGGGTGACCATGGCCAAGTCTCTTCCCTCCCTGTGCCTCTATTTATCCATCTGTAAAATGGAGATAACGATACTGACCTCCTTTGGTGCTGTGTGATCTATAGATGAAGACTGATATACAAGAGATGGGGATTATTATTACTGACACTAATTGCTATTGCCTTTTCAGGACAGTAGTATAGTTCTGATGAGCAAGCTAGCTCTCTTGCTATCCCAGAGGCAAGATTGAAGAAAAGGTTTGAAAGAAGCAAAGTACTACCGTGAGTGGCAGAACTGTCTTCGGGTGAAGAGGTAAACCTGCATGGACCCCAGGCTGCAGAGGGCAAACAGGCAGAACTTTGGTGAGTCTCAACATTAACTAAATCTAAGAATGCTCTGTGTGTTCAACTTAAATTCAGCACTGAGTCTGAATTGGTCTCTTGTGTTCATTAGAACTAGGAGAATTACTTGTTACAAGAATTTTTTTCTCAACCAAATTTGTCTGTCGTTGAGATGGTGAGAATTTGGGCAACGTTTTTTCCCCAGAATTTCAAACTCATTCAGTGAAATCTCTTGAAGGATTTCCTGATGTCTGGATATTTTAGAAGATCTCACCTTTCCATCTTGTTTTTTGGCTGAACTTGGTTGCACTGGCATTTCCTTGCCAAATTTTCAGTGCTCAAAATCATGACATGTCCAGCTCCACACGGATTGCACAAGCTGAACTCAGAAAAATGTTTTGGACTCTCAAATTTTTCCAGGAAATAGAAATGGTGGACACTAAAACCTACTGTGAAGTTCTGGGATGCAGTCCAGACCAATGAGGGGCTGTGTCATCACCTGCCCCTCAACCCTAGATGCCTCACAATGATTTACTGTTGTAGCTCCAAACCTAGGCTACTCACAAACAGCCAAATGTTGCATGGTGACCATCTGGATATAGCTACAGTCAATCCAAGTCCAGCAGCTCTGGCCCAGCAGGCTGCTCTCAACTCTGCTATCACACTCTGGCTCCAACCAGTATTGATTACTAACTGCAGGGCATCCCTAACACATGCCCGGTTGCACATTTCTCCAAAACATGTGTCCAGTTAATATTTGACATGGTTTCTTCTAAGGGCCACCTCTCAAAGCAACATTTATTCAAACAGTAGAAGGTGTCACAGAACTTGGTAGGGAAGGAGGCTCCATGTTCTTTCTTCTTGCTTGTATTTGCTGAAATACAGATTTGCTGTCTTTGTGCTATTTCAAGAATCTGTTTACTTCAATTTACATAGAAGTAGTAATCACACATTTCTTCCCTAAGAATACTTCAGCCTGGGCAGGACTGTGGGGTTTTTTGGGACACGTGCCTAGAACATAATATAGAGGGTTTCCTGGCTTTATAGTTAACGTGGCTACATACATTTCACCATAATAGTATTGATCCGAATGCTTGTTTTCTATGATACTTCAACAAGGCATAGTCTGTGCAAAGATTATATTAATAGTGTGTAAAGTGTGAATACAGAGGTGCTTTGAGTAACACCTACCTTGTGTGATTTTTCAATTGGTGAAAAATGTGTCGATTTTCATGGAAAGTTTTTCACTATCTTGGCATAGCTCCAGAATGTATTCTTGGGAAATTAAGAGCTGCAGTATGTAATACTTAGGGAATTTGACTTCTCAACAGAATATAAAATGTCCTCAACAACTATGCATGCCATAAATTATTATTCTTTTCAGTGATAGAAATGTAGCCATGTTAGTCTGGTGTAGCTGAAACAAAATACAGGACTATGTAGCACTTTAAAGACTAACAAGATGGTTTATTAGATGATGAGCTTTCGTGGGCCAGACCCACTTCCTCAGATCAAATAGTGGAAGAAAATAGTCACAACCATATATACCAAAAGATACAATTAAAAAATATGAACACATATGAAAAGGACAAATCAAATTTCAGAACAGAAGGTAGATGGCGGGGGGGAGGGGAAGGTAAATGTCTGTGAGCTAATGATATTAGAGGTGATAATTGGGGAAGCTATCTTTAATGAGTGTCCCCCGAGTGGTGAGAGTCCATGCAACTCCCACTAACATCCTTAGCACTTAATACGCCCGTATTTACTAGATCCACACAGTGTACATAAAGTGTCTAGATCAGTGTTTCTCAACCAGTGGTACGAGTACCCTTAGGGGTACTCAAGAAAAGTCTGGGGGGTATGTCAACACAACTGAAATTTGGAGAAAACTGAATTTTTGTTTTAAGTTTTATAGTGCTTTATTCTTTTTGTACTTTTTGTACTCCTACTGAGGCTCCCTCTAAAGTCCACCAAAACTGTTCCCTAGATTGGTTAAGAGCAACTCTGGTTGCCCTTCTGTTCTGAAATTTGATTTGTCCTTTTCATATGTGTTCATTTTTTTAATTGTATCCTTTGGTATTTATGGTTGTGACTATTTTCTTCCATTTTTGATCTGAGGAAGTGGGTCTGGCCCACGAAAGCTCATCATCTAATAAACCATCTTGTTAGTCTTTGAAGTGCTACATAATCCTGTATATTCTTTTCAGTGTGTTTGTGCCTGAGCACTTGAAGCAGAACTACTCATGCCTGTAAAGTTACAAATGCAGGTGAGTTTGGGCTTTTAGCTCAGGTTGTAATCCAGCACCAAACAGAATTAGCCAACTGTACAGTTGACAGGATGTTTATAACATGGATACGTCTTTTTCAACAAGATCAAGTGACAAAATTACGCTAGTATTTAGCCATGTAAAGCATGAAGGTGAAAGTCCTGTTGACACAGCCACAAAAAACACAAGTGCAAAATAATAAACTTTCAGACATGCCAGGCTATTTCCAGAGCCTGGTTTGAACAGGTACAGCTATGTGTGATAGTGCCAAAGTAACATATCTAGGCTGCATTGTCACAGCTTCTTCAAAAATAGGCAGCCTCAAAAGGTATTTCCCTTGCAAACAAGGTAATTCCTGTATTTTCCAAATGATGAGCATGCTCAGTGTACCACACTAGAAACTATTAACGGGGGACAGTTTCACAATTTATTATTGGCATTACTTGAGCACCACGAGGTAGGGTTGCCAGGTGTCTGGTTTTGAACTGGACAGTCCCAGTATTTGAGCTTTCTGTTCAGGAAACAATTTGAGAAAATATCAATGTCCGGTATTTTCTAAATAGGATGTGATGTAATGTCAAGTATGTCCAGTATTTTTGTTGAAACCATCTACCACGAGGCTGCGATCAGCACCCTATTGTCCTAAGTGCTGTACAGGGGATGGCAAAAAATAATTAGAGGCAGGAATCATAGAACACTACAATTGGAAGGGACCTTGAGAGGTCATTGAGTCGAGTCCCCTACACTTGCGACAGAACCAAGCACTGTAGACCATCCCTGATAGATGGTCTATCTAACCTGCTCTTAAATGTCTCCAGAGATGGAGCGCTCTAGGCAATGTATTCCAGTATTTAACCACCCCGAGAGGACGTTTTTCCTAATGTTCAGCCTAAACCTCTCTTGCTGCAGTTTGAGCCCATTGCTGCTTCTATCGTCAGAGGCCAAGGAGAATAATTTTTCTCCCTCCTCCTTGTAACGCTCTTTTAGATACTTGAATAAGTCATCCTGAGGATTTACATGGGATTTGTACACGTCGCTCTGATTACCTCACTACAGCATCTGTAACAGATCCCTCCTCTGCCCTTAGACAGGCCCAAGCTCAATCCCAGTGTAAGCAGCAGTTCAGAGCAGCTGGTTTCCTGTAACCAGGGCTCCACAAGCCTTAGCTGGTAGTGCTGCAGATAGCACCTCATCTTTGTTGGGATCCTATAGGAATAGCACGCACACTCGGGGAACTCTTCTCTCAATTTGTGGGGGACCCTGGGAATTCAGTCATGCAACAATAAAACCAGACAAGCATCAGGCCCACATATATTGATGCAAAAAGCCCAAGTCAGTAAGGTCTTATGGGTATCTCAATCTTCCTGGCATCTGTGCATCTCTGGGGAAAGCACTCAGAGGCAGAGTCCTTCCCAGCTGTTGGCTCCTCCAACCTGTTCCTGCAGAGTTCCCCCTCTCTCCAGTGAGCAGCTCCCAACTCAGGCCTTTCCTTCCTCAGGCTAAACTCGGGGAGCTTCTCACACTCCACAAGATGACACAGTCCTCTCCCCACCCCCAAGATGGCTCCTGTCACTAGTAGGGATGTGAACAACTAGGCAAATGTGTGATAAGCAAATGTTTATCCTATAGTCAACACACTGGTCGACTAGTCACTTCCCCCTGCCTGCTGTCTCTATCAAAGAGGCAGGAAGCTGGGGGGAGGAAGGTGCTTCAAAGCAGCAGCGCTACCTGGAGCCTAGAGTCAGCGGGGGAGTCCCCAGCTAACCCCAGGTTCCATGCAGACCTGCTGTTTTGAAATGCTGTGGGAGCACAGGGCCAGTGGGGGACTGCTTGAGTCTCCCACTGGTCCCTTGCTCCCTGCAGCTCTTTCACCTTTGAAGCGTAGCAACAGCCCTGGGGCTGTTGCTATGCTTCAAAGGTGGAAGCACCCTTATTGACTAATTAACATAACATCCCTAGTCACTAGTTCCACACCAAGGTCAGCTAACGAGGAAGGGTTCTCAGCTGTGCATCAGTCTCTGCTCAGCCCAGTGCTGACACAGGAGGGACAGTCATGACCCTTTTGGGGCCCATCCTCCCCTCCTAAAGGGTAGCTTCCCCGCTCTGTGGAGAGAGAACCCTGTTTGGGTTTTACTGTCAGGGAGGGACGCACCTTAAAGCCACTGATAGTTACTACAGTATGCCGGTAATTTACTTTGGAACAAATGTGTAGCCCCCAGCCTTCCCCTCAACCAGAGCAGGAGAGTGACTGACGAGTGGGATCCAAATGCCCTCTGCTCAGGTTAGTTGAGAGGCAGAGGCTGTATCTCACCACTGCTAGGCCAGAAATTGCTCTATAAAAGAGCCCCATGTTTGAGCCAAACGCCAACACTCCCCTTCGCCCTGCCCAGAAAATAAACAGGACCAAGATGTGAATAGTTTAGTCAGCATAATGTTTACTTAGCTGCCTGCCTCCTCCTAAGCAATGGAGTCACTTCACACCTCCATAGCCCAAGACCTGACCCCTGCCAACATTGCCAGCTCACTATCCTGGCAGTGGTTGTTGCCTTCCTTTCCATCAGCCCAGCACTACCTGCCCTGCTCAATCATTAACCAAGGCAGTTGTCTTCTGGTCTTTGCTGCTCCTGTATTGACCCATTTATGAACCCGCTGTGTCATTTACCATGGGCTACTATATTGATTTGGTTGCTATCCAGTGTATGCAGCCTTTCTGGTTTGCCACCAAGTTCACTTTCCTGGACAACTTCCCTCTGAGCCATCTTCCAGCCCCTCCCTTAGCAGCACTATCTAGCTTGTCCCCACCCCTCCACCCTCAGGAATTATCCACAGCTCAACTACTACCCCCTGTGGCTGTAAAATGTATACAGTGCCTCAGATGCTTGTCTTGCTTGAGCACACCTGTGGTGTTTTAAATGCTGCTTGTAATTATTAGAACTGGGAGCACAGGAAGGAGGGGGGAGGAGATGGGCCAGGCCTGAGTGAGAGCTCAGAGGGGAGCAGCAGTAGCTATTTAACAAAGGTGAAACCTCTTTACAAAAAGGTCTGTTGAAGTTTGTTACTACCTTGCTTGCATGATATTACATTTTGGCGACCAGGATGATCTTCTGCCTCTGAACCCACCTGCACCCTTTCTGCAAAGGCCAGGTGAGCCTCCAATTGCTTTTACTGCCTGGATTCATATGTTTGAGACTTACTGCTTGCATTCAGTGCTACAGAGATTTCTGAAGTAAGAAAGCGTGCACTGCTAATCCACTGCCTTGGAGCAGTGTATATTTTACACTTTTTCCTTTGCAGATGATAAATATGAGACTGCGCTCATTGCATTAAAGAACTTTTTTGTGCCAAAAGTGAATGTAGTAGCTAATCGCTATAGATCTCGCCAGTATGAGCAGAAACCAGGGAAGACTATAATGCAGTATGTTGCTTCTCTGAGGAGTCTAATTGTAACTTGTGACTTTGGGAATATGGCAGATGAGATGATTAAATACCAGCTCATTTAGGAAACCATGCTTTGTGTAAGTGAACGCTTGCTTCTAGAACCACAACTTACACTGGAAAAAGCAATAACCATTGCTACCCAGATTGTTAGCTATAGCAGAAGCCAAAATAATGAGCATAGATACAGGAGGCCCAGTCAAGGCTGTGACTCCTTTGCAGAAAAGTCCACTATTGCTGCAGACAAACAATCACAAGGGGGAAACTAATGAAAAACCACAGAATCAGCAAATTCAAAGCACAGCAAAAGCATGCTTTTGCTGTGGATCCCCACAACACCTTACAAGCTACACAAGATGTCCTACAAAAGAAACTCAGTGCAATCACTGCAAAAAGACTGGGCATTTTGTTAAGGTCTGTCAGACAGACTACGGCCTGTCTGGACTAGAGATTATGTAGTATTTACAGTGTTTTCAATGTAATATTTCTGCCAACAGTATAGTGGCTTGTTCCATATTTGTTGCTGTGGTTAGAACAATGTTTATTTTATAATTGGGAGAGCTTCTTGAGAGAGGAGGGAATGTGGTATTTTAGATGCTGCTTGTAATTATTAGAACTGGGAGCACTGGCTGTTGGGAATCTGGAAGCACAGAAAACGGGGAAGGAGATGGGCCAGGCCTGAGTGAGCACTACAGGGGGGAGCAGCAGCAGCTTTGTAAAGAGGTTTCACCTTTGTTAAATAAAGGCCTGTTGAAGCTTGTTACTACCTTGCATGCATGATACACCACCCCCCCCCATGCCACAAGAGAAGGGGTGGACTTATGGGTAGGACACCCAGTTGGGAACTCAGGAGAGTTGGGTTCAGTTGCCAGCTCTGGCATAGACACTGTGTGTAACCTTGAGCCAGTCAATTCATCTCTGTGTCTGTTCCCCCTTTGTAAAGCTGGGATAGGATAATGATATACCCCTCTCTCATCTTTTGTCTGTCTTGACTAGTGAAACAGTTCTCTGGGGCAGGGACTGCCCCTTACTAGATGTATAGCTCCTAGCACAATGAGACCCTGATCTGAGTTGGCCTCACTACCATAACAAGAATGATAAAAATCCATGACCCTGGTTATGGGAATCCCCGTGTCAGCATGTGTTTATGGTAATGTTAATGCTGATAGTTTAACAGGTGCATTTATTTTCCCAATCAGTGCGTTAATTTGTTCTGGAAAAATTAAAGGGATACACATACAGGGAGAGTCATACAAAAACAAATTTAGGAAAAGAAATCAAGATACCAGAACTTGGGACATTTCTGGGGAATCAGCTAAGGTTGTCAGGGTAGCTATAAAAGGCATAATTCTATCAACTGCTTCACCTACTCCAGAACATCCCTATACTATGACTCCTTTAATTTAAAAGTTTAATGGATTAGTTTTGAAAGGAAAAGCTCCTTGTATTAAAGGATCAGCATTATCACAGCTGTAAAAGTTTGGTGGCATTGAGATACCCCGGCACTATGACAGTGCTGAGTAAGTATAGCGTATGGCATATGGTATATGTTGCACTTACCACCTTCTTGCTCCCACAGACACAGCTCTGAAAGAGGCGGACAGCGCAACACAATGGGGCATCCCATTATGCGACATCCTGAGGTTTTCACTGAAAACGCTGCTTCTGGTTCTTGCTTCAGGACAGAAAAGGCAGTAACTGGGTAAGTACCTTTAATAGTGTAAACCTGCCTCACCAAACTGCATATTGAAAGTGCATCCTTCTAAGACTGGTAAGAAATGACACTGTTGCAACGTGACTTCCAACCTGAAAAACAATGATTAACTTTGAACCAAGTTCAGTGTAGTGCAACTTAAGCAGCAAGCAAATATACAGAGGAATGCAAATTAAAAACATCCAACATGTGAATAGTAGCATGCAGCACCATTGTCCATCCCAGTGTTCATGCCTGTATGGAGTTATGCCAGCCCGTGAGGAGCAATGGGGGGAATTCTGTCGAGGAAGAGAGAATTGCTCTGAGTTCCTCCGGCATGTATAATAAGACATCAGAATTTCTAATATTATATATGACAGCTTCCTAACTCAACTTACATCTAATATGGGGAATTCTGGGTTAGATCTCATGTTGACAGATAAAGAGGAACTGATCATGGAACTAAAAATTAATGTTAACATAGGTACAAGTGATCATGGCTTGATCAGGTGTATAATGTGCAACCAGTATAAAGTCCAGACCAATTATAACTACTTGGTGCTTTTAAAAGGGCCAAGTCCTAACCACATACTCATCTAAAAGTATATTGCAGGTACATTGTATCTTTCAGAAATCTGCAAACTGAACCAAGTTATGCACTGGATTCTGGTCATTAGTGATTGAGGTGAGAGAGGTGGAGATTTAGCAGAGTGAGAAGGAGAAAAGGGAAGATTTGAGGGGGGTCATTAAAGTAGAAGTAGTGACTGGATATCAAGGGAGACAGACAAGCATTAAATATGACATCAATATCATGGGCTGAGGAGATAGGAAAGATGGTGAGAACTGGAGTAAAGCAAGGCCAGAAGGACTCTGGACAGAAGAGATGTGTGCAGCAGACGATCTGAAAAACTGCACAGCTTGAGCATGTTGCTGAGCTGGACGGATCATTTCTGACGTGTCGACAGGCACTGGACACTGCCTTGTTGACCATGATCAGAGTCATTGGCTACAGAATCCAGGGCACCCTATGGCACTGAGGTGCAGGTAGGAACAACAGCCTTATGGGTACCTCTTTGCCTTATAAGTTTGACTTGAGTGCCTTTCTGGCTGTACTAGGAGTGCAGGTCCAACAGAGGCTACTCTGGGACAGGTGAGGTTTTTTTGAGAACTACCAGCAAAACCTCCCTCTCTGGAGTTAGTGAGCTTTGAAAAAATCACCTTTAAGGTACCATTAGCCATGATAACGGCACAGCAAATTGCCAAGCATTAGTATAGCAAAAGCCAGTGAAGGACTGTCAAAGCTAGCATTGTAATACAGAAGCTAAAAGCCAACCATCTTCAGCTACCTAGGAAGCACACCAGACACCCCCCAACCCAAAACCACACTGGAGCCTGTACTTCACTTTCAGTACGTGTGATCCCAGTTAATGGGCTACCCTTATGCTTAAACACAGATTTAAATGCATCACCCTGTAGTGTCCCAATTTCCTGTTAATGTATGCACATCCTGAGGTGGCTTATTGCTGGGAGAATATTGCTCATTAAATTTTATATTTAAAAAGATAATAAGAGTAGCTTTGAGATCATTTTTGCAACAAGTCCTTCCTGTTGCTGAGACAGTGCTACAGAAATGCACAAAAATACAACCTAAAAGTATTCAGTGCTTTACAAAGAACACAGAGGTTTCGATGACTTTGTTTAGTTCAGCAGACACTAAGTGCAACAAGGATGAAGGTTGATCACTGAGGATCAGCATAAGAAGTCTTTTCCCTATCCTCATTCCCCTTGATCTTTTGTTCTCTTTCCTCTTCCTTCCTGTTGCTCTTCCCCCCCATAGTCATTCACCCTTCCCACTGAATTCTTCCTTCTTCCCTTTTCTGGGGCATGGCTAGTTGAAGAGTGATACCTAAACCACACTGACTACACCAGCTACACTGCAATTGGATTAACTTTTATTGAGCACTGTATGTGTGTGCATGTGCATGATTAATTGGGGCAGTGTTCAGACACAAGGGTCTTGGGACCTATGCAGCTAGGGCACCCAACCAATAGGGGCATACAGACACTGCACGTGGGAGCTAGCCTCCCAGCCCCACTGGACAGACTTGTGCTAGTTCTGCTTGATATTGCAACTTTAGTGTGCTGGCTGGAGTCTGTCTCCCCTGGCTAGGAGGTTCCCAGGAGACCAGACAGGACAGTAACTGCAAAGGCACTGGTGCAGGCTGAGTCAGAGGGCGGGTAGATTTTCCAAACTACTCAATCTCATCACTCTTAGTTGAGCATCTGAACTAGCTCTTTTGCCAACGTTTTTACCCACTGTGGAAGTACCAGAAAATGACAAGTAGTAGTCCTCTGCTTTGATGCAAATAATATGGCATTGTTGTCGTCATTTTCACCCTGTGGTGGATTTTATGACTCTTTACATGAAACAGAAGGTTAGTGAATTATTTTGTCATTTAAGAGTGCTGCATAATTCAGTGCAGCCCTTCTGTGCAACATTTACTGTAGGCCTAGTATTACACAGTGCAAGGAGAGTTGGTTATATTGCACCTGACAAAATGTGTCTGTCGCTACACATTGAGAAGCTTTCCTTCTAAGGCACCCTGTCATCATCCTCATTGAAGCAGATTTGACTAGCCTATTAGGTTCTATAAGTGCAAATATTATTGGCAATGTTATCCAGTTTTTAAAATAGTCAGTAGCTCTAACTCTTGCAACTCTACATGATGCATAAAGGAGTGTTTCCATTTAGTGGTAAACTTTTCTTTATACAGTAAAACTCCGATGGTCCGGCATCTGATGGTCTGGCACCATCAGGAACCCGGAAAGAAGGCGGGGGGCAGAGCAGCTGGAGTGCTGCCAGGTAGGTCCCGGAGCACTGCCCCTTGGGGCTGCGGGACCAACCCGGCAGCACCCCAGCACTCCAGCTGTCCCCGATTCATCCGCTGCTGAAACTGACCAGCAGCTGACTCCAGGAAGCCCAAGGCAGAACAGCTCTGCCTCGGGCTTCCTGGAGTTAGCCGCTGATCAGTATCAGCAGCAGCTGACTTGGGGATGCCTGGGGCAGAGCAGCTGGGGTGCTGCCCGGTTGGTCCAGTAGCGCTGCTCCTCAGCTCTGAGACCAACCCCGCATCCCCCCAGCTGCTCTGCCCCAGGCGTCCTGATTCAGCAGCTGCTGAAACTGACCAGTGGTTGACTCCAGGAAGCCTGGGGCAGAGCAGCTCTGCCTCAGGCTTCCTGGAGTCAGCCGCTGATCAGTATCAGCAGGGGCTGACTTGGGGACACCTGGGGCAGAGCAGCTGGGGTGCTGCCAGGTTGGTCTCCGGCCGCTGCTGAAACTGACCAGAAGCGGCTGAATCAGGGACGCCTGGGGCAGAGCCGGACTATCGGAAGGGGGGGGGCTATGAGGAGTCTGGGGGGCAGCCCCCACCCCACCCCAGACCTCTCATAGCCCCCCTTTCTGATAATCCGGCACTCCCTGGGTCCTAAAGGTGCCGGATTATCGGAAGTTTACTGTAACTAGTGCTGTATAGCCAAATATTTAGTTAGATCCTTTATTAAAGCAACTTTTAGGGCTCCAAACTACACCTTCTTTAGAACCTAGAGGACATTAACTGCTATTTACTTTGAAACTATTTTAAAAGGTTGCATTTTAAGCTTCACCATACATGATCCCATCACAAAAGCCATAGGATTAAGATCCAGGATTTAGTTTTGATCCTTCCATCAGTTTTTTTTGTGAGCATAAGCAAATCAAACCATCTAAACTTCAGTTTCACTTCTAACATGGAGATGAGGTTAACCTCACCAGCGTGTTGCAAAGCATACCTAATTTGTAAAAACACGCCAGAAGAGTGCCCAGTATTTTTCAATCACTCCCCATATTTTTTCCGTATGATTCACTTACTGTTGAGATCATTTTTCTGAAAATATTGCTTAAGTTGAAGCCGAAATCTCGGTCAATTATACATATTTGCACATTTAATATAAGAGTGCTGCTGAAAAATACTTTTAATATTTTTAAAAGGATATACTGCAGCTCTCTGAACTCATCTTGTTGAGACTTCTAAAAGCAGTCAGGTTACCAAATATTGATTTTTTTTTTTTAATCTGGAAGAAAATTACATGTGAATAGCACTGGGCAGATGCAAAATACCCAACCTCCAGTTGCAAAGTGGTACAGCATTAAACCTGTACAATAAAACATATATGGAGACCAAGAAGAGTAAGAAATGTGTCCTAACAGGAGAACAAGAGGCAGGACAAAACTGTAAGTGTACATCATACATTTATTACTGAACAACTCTCTCAACTCCAAAATTGGGCACAGGGATTAAAAATAAAAATTCATTGCACTACTTAGTAAAGCATTACTAGTAACTCTCATAAAAAATGTACAAATTTTGTTAAAAATTTATCAAGCCTTCAAATGATTTGGTTACAGATATTTATAATACATTTAAAACTACATGTTAACTGATACAATAGAGTATGATTTTAAAGAAAACACTTGACAAAATATGATTCCAACAAAATCTATAAACTTTCATAATCATTAGCAAATCTGAAACACATAGCAAAATGAGGTAACTGAATGTACCAATGGGGAGGGGGCGGGGGCGAACAGCTTTTATTAAGGCCTAAAGATAACTCAGTCAAGAATACATTTTCAGGAAGCTTAAAAAAACCATATTGGTAAATCCCACCATTCCAAGTATTACAAAAAGTGTAAATGTTAACAGCTGAGAAATCACATTCAAGAGACTGTACAAAAACAGTATAACAACAACAAAAAAATTACTTTGCACAGAAAACATTCTGTAAAAGAAAACCCACAAAATGAGACCTTGGAGAAATCTGTAGGCCTTGATATCCATTAAAACAGAGCAAAGTCAAATTAAATTGACAAATCATGCAAAAACAAAAACAAAAAAACACAGCAGTGCCAACATGGTAAAGCCAACAGTTGTTTTTAGAAGGGAGGTGGGAAAGGGGGGAGGCAACCAAAATAAGCCTTTTACTGGATTCTGATAGTGCCAGGCACTACTGCAGGCTGTGGAATTAGACACAAATGTGCGTAACACATGGCAGTAAAGGCTGAGCATGAATCCCCTTCCCCTCCTCTTTTGACATGACAGCCACAACATGAAAGGTTGTTGTAGCCAGTCTGAGCTGGTTCAGAACACATGCATGTGTGCTTTTTATACACACTAACCACAGGAAGCAAGTCTGCACACATCTGCAAGAGTCCCATGCAAACAAAAGAAACATTCCAGAAGAGATCAGCCACAAGAGTGCAACAATTAAATTCAGTATTTTACCAAATTAGACCTTTCTGCTGCCTTAAATCTCCAACTGCCTCACAGAACTTTGCTGGGAAAGAGGGCCATTACACATCAAGATTTCTCCAATTCAGGAAAGAGGACTAGTTTACTTCATATTAGTAAAATGTGCCCTGTTAATTATGCATTTCTATCTAACTTAGAAAAGTGACTTATTTCCATGCTTCAATAAAGTGAATACTGAGAGTAGTAGTGTTTGTTATGGTTAGATCTGTACAGGTAGAAATTTTTTTTGCAGCTATATAAAAGACCCTAAGTATTATAAGATGTGTGGCATACACTTCTTTTTAAACACATGATTTCATTCATTTAAAAAAATAAAGTTTACTATATGAGATTTAATTTGTTTTGGTGACATATGACAGTTCCATTCCTTAGCACATCCAGGGAAAAAACAAACATGTTTAAAGTGGTTGTACATTGTATATTTTGTAATAAATTTGATTTACGTAGTGTTAGGTACTGACATATGGACAGACAAGCATGTTTTTAGTTCTACTTGTGTAACTAAACAGAGGCAATAGCATCTGAAACATGGGCAAAATTGTGCTTTCATTTTGTTTTACTGAACCACAAGCTGTGATTGGTCTGTAGAGCCTTCAAGGAAGGGCAAGCAGCATGGAGAACATATAACACTGTCTGAAAATATAACTGATACTAAAGCATAGCAGCACACAAAAGCATCAGAAATGACACAAACTTAAAGCTGAGACTGGCAGCAGGTTACAGCAATATTGCTAGTTGTGCCACTTGTGCTATTGGAACCAAAGTAATGACATTACATTTAGGAGAAAGCACAGTGATGCAAAAAAGTGCACCTCGAATTTTAAAACCTTTAACAGTCTGAAACATCAAACAAAGCCAATTTTTTAACAATCCAGCTATAACATTTGCAGGGCAGCTGAATGGAGATTAACTCCTATTTCACAGCATTATTTGTTTCTGATTGTGTATTAATACACTCTTCTTTTAAGGTAAATATTCTGGCTACCAATAGAAAAACCAAGGGAGTTTTTTATTCATGCAAAAAACGCATTACCTATCAGGGAAGGGCAGACGAAGCATCCTATGCCATTTGACTCAAGCAGCGAACAACCACAAAAACTTACTGTGGTACACTGATAAAGTTAGTAAGTTCCTCTGCTCTGAGAAAACGCTTAAAATTATATTTTCTACATATAGTTGCAGAAATAAAAAGAAAGCCTCTCTTCCATTTACACAAACTCCCTTATACATGAAAAAGAACATGAACGAGTTAAATCCGAATTTATAAACTAAATGATTATGTACTTAGCAAGTACAATGGCCAACAATGTGAAGAGCTGTTGCACAAGACTCTCAATGTCCTTTCAGCTTCTGTGTATGGGGAGGGATATGTTACTTCAGCATTTTCAGAACTTACATTTGTTCTGAAATCAACTGAACACAATTAAAACGGACTAGAGGAATTACAAAGGAAAACAGAAAAGCATCAACATTCAAATGATCAATTCGTCAATATTAATATTGCTAACTGATTTTGTGCGATATTGCAACTATTGATAAATTAGCAATTTTAAAATCTGGATTTTATGACATACGCTAAAAATAAGACTAATCATGTATTGCGCAATCAATGCACTCTTTAGTGGTACATTTACAACTGCCAGTGAAGGGAGCATTAACAGTTGTCCGAATAAAAGTTAAAAGGTCTTTTTATACCATTAAGTACATTGGGGAGGAAATATTAAATGCCTATAATTGCTGCACCCTTAGCATTCAGTGTGCAACTGCAAACACAAGGAAAGAAACCAGTGTACAGTACTAGTACTGTTTAAATAACACACAGGATTATACATTGCAGCATAATTAATACTACACACATACGTTCTCAGTACATGCTGGTATATAGGTTCTCAAACATACGCACACAGACACTCGCGAACACATCCCACACAAACTCTCGTGTGTGCATACATACCCACCCACACCATTCATTCCCACTCACAGTATCTGAAGGCTCTATATAAAGGTAGATTGCTATATTGTTTGGAGCTACCACTTTTTATAAAAGCACATGCTAAAAGATCACGTCCACTGTAATCTCGCAGCAACACTCGGAATGATCACACAAAAACCAGGGAATGTTAGTGCACACACAAAATTAAGCTAAAGAAAATAAAATCTTTGGAGTTCCAATCACACGGTTAGTATAACAATCCCATAATTGTGAAGACTAATTATAAGCTTTTATAATTGATTAAATCACACAGTGCAAAAAAAGGTCCATTGACCCTTTTGTGTAAAGGGAAGGCTGGCAGCCACACAGGTAAGTTCAATGGATAGTTCGTCTATACATGTGACTAGGAACACCCAAACTAGAATTGTGCTCTTAGATTGGTCATTCTGAATCACGATGCACTTCTGAAGCATCAGCTCTACAAATTGGGCAGGTACGATTTGCCTATAAAACAAAAGTAAAACAGGGCTTCAGTGAATGGACAAGGATACCTGTTTACATAACCGTGTACGCCACAATATACAACAGTACACACTAATCCAAACTGGAGTCACAACAGGAAAATAAGTTGGCTGTGCGCTTTTTTTGGCTTCTTTATGATGTGAGAAGATGGCCTGAAGTCTGTCAAATCAAAATATTCTCTTACTCTCACTCTCATAAGAATTTTCTAGAAGAATTATGGAGAATGATGAAATTATGCCATCACAAAAGACTGAAAGCTGATCAGCTGGGAAGAGAGAATTTAGTCCGTTCATAATTGCTTTTTAAACACCTATTGAACAACAGTACACAGAATTATATGTAAAAAGATGTCTGTTCAAGAATGAATGCGGCTATCCTTCAATGAAGGTGAGGTACTCACAATATATGTTTACTTAGCACAAAACCAGATCAAAATGCTGTGGGGCAATGAGTCTTAAGAGTCTTGTTCTGCAGTGCTAAAAACAGCGGTGTATACATTGAGGCTCAGGCAAGAGCATGGACTCAAAGCCAGAATATGAGGGTGCACTTCAGAGGTCAAAACCCTACACAGCAGTTTTCAGCCCTGTAGAGAGAGCCTGAGTCTGCAAACGAGGAGTCAAACTCATTGCTACATGGGCTCTCTTTTTTTTTTAAAGCACTGTGCAGACATACTCTAGGTGCCCATTTCCTGTGACACCCACCCCCAGCAAAAATCAGGATCACATTCCTGATACCGCTAAAGAAATTTTTTAACAATGAAAGGATAATACTTTCAGGCTGACTTTACAAAGAAGCAAGCAATATTACAAAAAATACTCTAATAGTTGACAGTAAAAATCTTTCCTAGAAAAGGAAAATTAAACCCCCAGACACTCCTCAACACTTCATAATTGCAATCTGAATGGTTTAGACAGGTGTACTAAGATTTTAATAAAAACAATAGGGTTGGTAATTAGTGAACTAGTGGCTTTCACTAAGCATGAAAATTGCCAAATGGTGAGTATTTTCACAATTAGTAGATAAGTGTTCTTGTTTCTTCGTGCAACCAAAAATGAATGCATTTTTTCCCCCAAATCACATTCGTAAGTAACCACTGTAGTGCTACAGCTTTTTGCATCAACCTGTCATTGACATTTTAGGGGTAATTGAAAAACTCAGCACTCCAAATTGAGGAGACAAAACCCAAAGTGCACTTTTCTGATCATTAGTGGTTTCATAACCATTTGGGGGAGTTCAGTCACTACACAGTCTATGACCACACAGTCCCTAATATAAATGCAGCCTATATCAGAGGAGTTTTTCCTATCAGTCGGGGAACACCACCTCTCCCTTTTAAAAGTTTTGTGCCGGCATTTATCTTTATACTAGGGGGTTTGGCTGGCATAGTTTGGAGAGGTGTTTTTTACAACCGTGACTGACACAGCTAAGTCAATATAAGTTGAAGCATAGAAGAGCAATATCTGTTCTACACACCTTTCTAGTCTAGACATGATGTAATTAATCCATCTAATACAGAATAAAACTGTCATCTTTTCCAAGAGTATGCTGTTTGAGAGCTGAACTCAGATTTATGTATCAAATAGTATTTGAGAGTTGACTATTTGTAGTATTAAATGTGACATCTAGTGGTAATATCACTATATTGTAGTTTACTGGAAGCATATTACAGTAAACTAGTCCAAATAGTCAGATCAAATAAAACATTTTAAACATGAACACAAATCAAATTATTCATGTTACTGTAATATTATATTAACAGTTCTATTAATCAGAGTGTTTTCCCATGTTTTAAGATTCTCTTTCATAATGAATCAATTAAATGCATTGCATTCTTTGAATTTATTCCCTTTTTTACTTGAACATTACTCAACGGTTTTAAGTGAGAATTGGACGTGCATACTGAAGTGCAGGTCATACAGAAAAGTAATATGTAGTTACTTGAAGTAAATTACTTTTCTTAAACATAAGCATGCACACAGCATTACATGCTGTACTGTAACCTTCCTCAAAATTTTTCTAAAGAAACCTTCTAATGATATCTAAATATTTATTTAAAACTGAAGAGTTCTACCTAATGGCTTTTTGTGACAAGCCTTATAGCAAAAATTGAGGTTTTGAGGTCACCAGAACCAAGATGGATTACAATCCTTTAGTTATGGTTTGGGATGTAACACACAGTACAGGCAGTCCCCAACTTACGCGGATCTGACTTACGAACGGGGCTCTCTCGCCCCGGAGCTCACAGGCAGCGGTCACAGCCACCTCGACCTCTGGGGCGAGAAAAGCTGCTCCTGGTGCCCCTGGTCTGCTGGAGACCGTCTCCAGCAGACCAGGGGCACCACGAGCAAACCCGCAGCAGCGGTGGGGTCCCGCGCTTCTGAGGCTTTGCTCGGGCAAAGCCTCAGAAGCGCGGGAACCCGCCCGGTGCCCCTGGTCTGCTGGAGACGGTCTCCAGCAGACCAGGGGCACCAGGAGCAGCTTTTCTCGCCCCAGAGGTCGAGGTGGCTGTGACCGCTGCCTGTGAGCTCCGGGGCGAGAGAGCCCCGTTCGTAAGTCAGATCCGCGTAAGTTGGGGACTGCCTGTACTGTGTGTTACATCCCAAACCATAACTAAAGGATTGTAATCCATCTTGGTTCTGGTGACCTCAAAACCTCAATTTTTGCTATAAGGCTTGTCACAAAAAGCCATTAGGTAGAACTCTTCAGTTTTAAATAAATATTTAGATATCATTAGAAGGTTTCTTTAGAAAAATTTTGAGGAAGGTTACAGTACAGCATGTAATGCTGTGTGCATGCTTATGTTTAAGAAAAGTAATTTACTTCAAGTAACTACATATTACTTTTCTGTATGACCTGCTTAAGTTGAATCTGTATGTAAGTCAGAACTGGCGGTCAGTTTCAGCAGTGTCTGAATCTGGACGCCAGTTCCAACTTATATACAGATTCAACTTAAGAACAAACCTACAGTCCCTATCTTGTACGTAACCCGGGGACTGCCTGTATTGCTAAACGTAAGTGTTCAGCAATCAGAAATCGCCTAAGAAACAGTGTTAAAATCATGGGATTTGACGCAAATAATTTGGGTTCTTTTTCAATGTTTTCTGATGTCTGAGCATCCAGGTGTATTCAGGTTGGGGTTTCAAGCTTTTCTTTGCAGTGATGAAGACTAGAAACTTACTTAAAAAAAAAAAAGCAAAGCTGAGATTCCAACTTGTCTTGACTTCAAGAGCTGGGCCTTTAAATATAAGACCACAAATATTGCTAAACTTGGCAGAACTGTACAGCAACAAAATAGTCTGATCTCTTCTTACCACTACCCTCGGCTATTCAGCCCCCACTTTCCCTTATTTACCCTGCAGCTAATAGGTTTGTAAAAGACCCTTTCAACAGAGGTGAGAAAAGACAATGTCCATCCACAGGGTGGCAGAAGGCACTGATAGCAGCTCCATGCACCTGGATGAAGTTGAGAGTTTCTGGGTGTCTGGCAGATGAGTCTTGCCCACATGCTCAGGGTTTAGCTGATCGCCATATTTGGGGTCGGGAAGGAATTTTCCTCCAGGGTAGATTGGCAGAGGCCCTGGAGGTTTTTCACCTTCCTCTGTAGCATGGGGTACAGATCACAGCTGGAGGATTCTCTGCATCTTGGGGTCTTCAAAGTATTTGAAGGCTTCAATATCTGAGATATAGGTGACAGGATTATTCTAGGAGGGGTGGGTGAGATTTTGTGGCCTGCACTGTGCAGGGGGTCAGACTAGATCATCATAATGGTCCCTTCTGACCTTAAAGTCTATGAGAGCAATGCCTGATGCCTTCACTGAGAGGAGATTGTCTAAAGAGGAATCTCCAAATTCTCAGGGGCAAGATTCCTCTGGCTGCACAAACAAGGTGAAATGCTTCCATTTGGCACTATAGGAGGGAACTGGGTTTATTTAGTCTGAAGATAAGAGTGAGGGGGACTGGATAAACAGCCTTCAACTACCTCATGAAGGGTTTCCAAAGAGGAGCTAAGCTATTCTCAGTGATGACTGAACAAGGAGCAATCATCTCAAGCTGCAGTGGGGAAGATCTAGGTTAGATGTTATGAAAAACTATTTCACTTGGAGGGTGGTGAAGCACTGGAATGTGTTGCATAGGAAGGTGGAATATCCATTCTTAGAGGTTCTAAAGGCCATGCTTGACAGAGCCCTGGGAGGGATGATTCAGCTGGGCTTGGGGCTCTGCTTTGAGAAGCAGGTTGGACAAGATGACCCCCTGAGGTCTCTTCCAACTCTAATCTTCTAGGATTCCAGGATGCTGATGTGCATGAAATTCCTGGGCAGTTCAGATTCCCTGAGTCAAATGTACTCACCCATATGTGCACCCCATCCAATGAGCAACACATTTGTGACAATCGTCATGCATGGAGAGGGCAGAAGGAACGCCAATTTAGATCAGGCCTGAGTCCATCCACCATTTGAGGGAAGAGATATCATGGGGAACCAATAGCAGGAAGTCTACAGTGTGGCACATGGGGGAAGTGAATCTCTGAAACCACAACTGCAAGCAGCCAATGCAGGGAGGAGCAAAGGCAGTCACATGTGCAAGCCACCATGTGGCCAAGATCAGAAAGGCAAGTCCTGGCCTGAGCAGGACTGGAGATCATAGGGGGAATAAGCTCTTGTAGGGTCACAAACCTGTCATCTGGCAGGTAGGTATGCACCAAGATCACATCAATGCAGGCCCCAACAAATTCCAAGAATTGTGTGGGATCCGCAGTTGATTAATCAGTGTTTTTCACTCACCCCCAAGGAAAAGAGATGTGTGAGCAGCATGCAAGTCAAGGCTCCAGCTTCTCTTTTAATCTTGCTACAGCCACCAATAATAGAGATAAGAGAACACAAGACTCTCTTAATTCTGGATGTGGGCTACCACCATTGAAAATACCTTAGTGAAAAACCTGTGGAACAGTGATGAGTCTGAACAGCAGACTACTGCACTGAAACTGACGAAGGCCATCTGAATCTGAGGAATTGTTTGCCGACAGGATGGGTATCATATAAAAGTGTCTTGCATATCCTTCTTAGGAAGGATGAGGGCTCCTAGGGTGACCAAGTGAAACTTTGGCATGCATAGTAAGTGGTTGAGACCTAAAGTCCACTTATATCCACACTTCTTGGAGACTAGGAAATAGGTGGAATAGAACTCAGCACCCTGATACGTCATAGATGCTATTACATCTCTGCAGCAGGGAGTCCACTTCCTGGGCAAGGATACCGTTTGAGAGAGTTGTTACTAAGCCAATGCTGGGGTGGAGGACATGGATGTGGTAGTATTGTGAGCCCAATATGTCTGCTATCACTTTCCAATATGGTAAAAAGGGTGCTAGATACCCCCTGAAGAGGGTGAGTCAGGTGCACAATGAGACACAGGCTATCTGGTTGCACTCATAGTGCTTCTGAAAAGATGGAATATGAAACACTGAAAGTTATGAGGATGAACCAGGAGGACAGCTCATTGGGTCTGTTAGCAAGGAGACTCACAAGACTGCTGGTGGAAGAATTGGGGAGCTCTAAATCTCTGTATCAGAGTGGCTTGGGTGCTGGTGTGCAGCTATCCAACCATCACCAAGTGGCCCTGGAGTCCCTGAAGGAAGAAGTTTTCCTTTGAAGAGATGAGACTCAACAAGAGAGATCCTCTGTGGTGCTCTGGACTTTCCTCAGGGAATTGGATGAACGTAGCCACAACTCCCTATAAATGACAATCCCAGGAGCCATCATGCATCACATCCACTGAGCCCTTGACTGCTGTCCTTGCAACCCATTTCCTCTCCTTTAGGATAGCTTGGGAAAGAGCCTCATCCTGGGGGGAAGGGGGAGGGTTGTCAATGAAATCTGCCAACTTGCTATCGTAAAGAATTCATAGTTGATGAACACAACCAAGTAATTGGAAATGTGAAACTGGATGCTGACAGGGACGACCATCTTACAACCCAGAAGGTCCAGTGGCTTGCCCTTCTTGTCTGCTGGGGTAGATATTGCTACCAGGCCTGTTTCATTGCTGCCTGAATAACTATAATTGCCAAAAGCGGAAGCGAAGAAAAACCTCAGACAGTACCGCTTCTCCACCCCTTGGGGGTTGGCATGCAGCTCACTAGAGTGTGCCACTCTGACCATGGCGGCTGAAGTATGTCACCACTGAGGTAGAGCCACTCTGGCCAGTACTCAGGTGTGTAAAGATGTTAAGAAACTGGTGATGCTTTTATATACTTCCTCTAGTGGGATGTGGACAGCATCTGCCACTCTACATTGGTGGTAATTATCTGGGGGCAAAGAGAGAGTTTAGGACACTAGGGTGTCAGTGGATGACAAGGGGAATTGCTCCAATTTCCCTAGCACTGCTGGAGTCAGACTAAGTGGTTCTAAACAGCAAGATTGGAAATTCCACATGAGCAGAGCTGGAAGATTCCAAAAGTAGATCCTACAGCCATGACCCCCAGTATGGTCAACAGGTGGATCAGGTAGTTGGTGTGTTTAGCACTTAGGAGGACCCCGGGAATGGGAAATGGGAGAGTACTGACACTGAGTTGGTAGTCATACTGAGGATACCAGAGGGGTGGACCCTGCTTTCCATATGCGTTCTCTTATGCAGGGAAGTAAGAGCCCTGTTCAAATGATGGTGCCATTGGAACACAGTGAGCTATTGGGGGCAGGTGGGAATATGGCCAGAAAGAGACAAGTCTGTGGGGCGCTTACTCTTTTAGGAGGGGATGGCACTTAAAGACACAGGGACCTCACTTCTCCTAAAGAAAGAGTTTATGAGACTCAGGGGCAGACTCAATTCTCTCTGGTATCAGTGACACACTCCACATTCAGAATTAGAGCCAGAATGAGAGCTGAAAAAGAGAACTGCCTCAGAACCAAAGGCTCGCCTGACTTTGGTGGCACTGACCATGGAGGATTTTGCAAGCTTGGTGGTTGGATTCAATGATCTGTGTGGATTTTTACTATGCCTCTAGGCTTTGGCACATGCCTGTTCTCCATGGCTAGAACTGGTAGAGCAGTTTCCTTCTTAGAAAGATTTGTCATCCTTATGTGTATGCTTCTCTGCCTCATGGCTAGGACCCAGTGCAAGGTCCACAAACATTGGTACCAGTGGAATTACAACAGTACTCCATGGTAGGAGATACACTCCTAGACTGCTCTGGCCCATGTATGTGTGGGTGAAAGGGAGAGGTGTTCCCTGGCCTGGATCTGACTGCAGCCTCATGACAGCCTCTGTGAGGTGCTGAGCTCAGCCTTCCCAAGTACAACTTAGAAGCAGCAACAGATACTGCACCCATATGCAATGTGGACTTCCCCGAAGCAGTAAAGGCAGCACTGGTGCTCATCACAGGTCAAAAACAAGCAAGGGCAGGAGGCCAAAATTTTGAACTCTGGCATCCTTCAGTCTAATTCAATATCCAGGGATGGAGGAGGGGAGAGAGGAGGTTGACTAGTAAAACAGTGTCCCAATGTCCTTAAAATTTCTAAAAACTACTACTACTACTAACACTAAAAGTTACTACAAAAAGTTAAAAAAAAAAAACCAAAAAGCACTAGCTATATACACAAATAAAACAATTGAAAAGTGTGTTAGTGCATGCACATAACCCTAGGGGAATACAATATGGACTACCACAGGAAGAATATAATGAAATTGACAAAAAGCTGTCAAATGCACAAAAGGAAAAATATTTAATTTTTGTTCTCTTCCAGTTATAAGGAAAAATATTTAATTTTTGTTCTCTTCCAAAATTTATAGAATGACCTCTACTCTAGAAAGTTTTGCTGCTTTAACTATAGTGGAGTAGTTAAAAGCAGCAATATCCCTTCACTCTGTGTCAGTGCAGTTGTACTGGCATAGCTTATTCCAGTTTGGGAAAAGTGACTAACTACAATGGTATAGACATCTTTATACCAGTATAACTCCATCCATATTAAGACTTATACCAGAAGAACTACTGGTAAAAAAAAATAAAATAAAAATCCACACCCCTAACCAACACTGATTGGTGACATTTTTTTCTAGTGTAGACCAATCTTGAGATGTTACTCATAACAAAAATAGGTACAAAAGTTTCTACTAAAGTGATTTTTAAATTGTTTAAGGGACACTGTCAAATTCCCTTATGTATAATAAATAAGTCACCTGAGATCATTAAGTGAATGTATGGGAAAAACTGTACTGGTCTAAAGCTTTTAAAAAAAACCCATGTAAAGTCAAGTTTGGACCTACAATTTAATTTAGGACACCTACTCCAGAATCTCAGAGCATCAGTATCTGACCTAGCAGCCTCTTTTCTTTCATCCGTGCACAATTGTTTAGTATTGAACTCAGTACCCAAGGAATGGTACATTCAAATACACTATTCCTGACTACACACAAAAGATTCCATGATAAAGCAATCATTTTCTTGACTGTAGAAAGTCTACCAATATAGTACTGTCTGTTAGGCTATGTACTAGCTATAACAATGCACCTGTCAGCAAAGCAAGACAATTTAGACATTTATGCCATGTTTAAGAAAATGCATCTTAAAACAGATATGAAGACAAAACACTGGCTATATTATTTTCAGTGTATTTATTTCTGTCTCTCTCATTGGGCTGCTGTAACCAGAACTATATCATGGAAAAGATTAAAATAGAAAATAAATCAATCCAAATAGAACAAAATACTAAAAAAATGAGACAATGGAAAATAATAGCTTGCTGGCAGTAGTTCTGGATATAATGTAGCTTGCAGGGATCTCTCTCTGCATACCATCTTTACCTATCTAATTGCACCTGCACTTTTCATTCTTCTGTATGGTGTGGTACTATTTTTAGATTATTCATATTTTTTTTAAAATGAAAGATTTCTTATTTCATCTGTAAAACCTTACTTTTGTGAGAAATCTGACCACTTATGCATTTTTCCCATGTCCCCAGACTTGACATTCATATAAGGAGCTAGAAACATTTTTGGTAGTTTCACGTTCTTTTAATACCAAATTCCTGCTTATGAAAGAGAGACAAGCAGTATTTAGACAACTCTCAAATTTCACACTCTACTTTGAACTTTTCTGCTTTCCCATTAAATTATATTAATACAGACATCTTATGTCCAACTGAAAATGAACTAAATTTGTCAATCAAGATCATACTCAGTGTCAGTCTTTTAATTACGCTACATTTGATGTAGACTTCACATAATCTCCCTTCATCAATTAGAAAATAACGCTACAACAAAAGGAGGTAGCATTTTCAGTTTGTTAGATTTTGTAGCCTTAATACCAGAAAGTAGTAATAAGAGATGAAATGCAACAGAAAATGACAACTACAAACTAGGCTATTGTAAAATCTTACTGATTTTGTTTTTTGTTTTTTACCTTAAGCCATTTATCGACACACTTGGCATGGAACTCGTGGTTACAAGGTAAGACTCTAAGTAGCTGCCTTGACTCAAAATCACACATGCATACTACGCACCTAAAAAAGATTGCAGAGTTTAACGTTATTTACTATTCAACACCACCACATTGGCATTCTATATACAACTTTCAGGTTGTGTTTGTAATGAGCTTTTTTGTACAGTAATTCCTCATTTAACATGGTAGATAGTACGATCATTTTCTGAAACGTAAGTGAAAACATGTTTTGCAGGGTCAATTTTCCCATTGAAAATAATGGAAAAGGTGGGGGTTGCGTTTCAAGCGCACGTGCACTCGCAGCTCCAGCCCGCACTTGTTAGCAGCTGGGACCGGGACATAAGGTTGGGGGAGAAAGGAGACTGGGTTATAGCAAGGAGGGGAGGTGTTTGGTTCCGGAGAAGGGAAGGGAAGGACAGGGGAGGGGGCTTGCAGCCGTGTTTCCCCAGCTGGCCGGTCACTGGCAGCTGTGCGGGACTTCCCCTGCCTCCTTGCAAAGCAGCAGAGGTTTGCCCTGGCTGGATGCCTCACTCCCTCTCCTCTGCCCCCGCTGTTTGCAGCCGGAGGCTGGGTTTCCTCCTGCCTCCAGAGGTTCGCCACTCACCATGCCATTCCCCAGCGACTCCCTCTGGGGATGCTTCACTCCCTCTCCTCTGCCCCCGCTGTTTGCAGCCGGAGGCTGGGTTTCCTCCTGCCTCCAGAGGTTCGCCACTCACCATGCCATTCCCCAGCGACTCCCTCTGGGGATGCTTCACTCCCTCTCCTCTGCCCTCTATTTACAGCCGGCAGCTGGGTTTCTCCAGCTGGCTGGTTGCCAGCAGCTGCAGGGCTCTCCCTGCCTCCCTGCAAAGCAGCAGAGGTTCACCGTTCGCTGTGCCATTCCCTGGCGACTTCCTCTGGCCGAATGCCTTGCGTCCAGTGAGGAGGGGTCGCCAGTGCCTGGCAAGCTGGGGAAACCCAACCACTGGCTGTAAATGGGGAGCAGAGGAGAGGGAGCGAAGCATCCAGAGGGGCTGGGCGGGGAATGGCGTGGAGAGCGACAAACCTCCGCAGGCAGAGGGAAGCCCTGCGCAGCTGCCGGCGCCTGGCTAGCTGGGGAAACCCGGCTGCAAGCATGGGGCGGAGGAGAGGGAGCGAAGCATCCAGCCAGAGGGGGTCGCCGGGGAACTGCGCGGTGAGCGGCGAACCTCTGCCGTTTTGCAGGGAGGCAGGGGAAGCCCCAGGCAGCTGCCGGCCAGTAAGGGAAATCGTGTTATTGCGGGGACGGTTCGTGTTGTTCAAAAAAATGTTCCCTAAAAAAAAAAAAATCGTGCTATCGCGAATACGTGTTTAGCGAGGAATTACTGTACTGGTTTAGCTATCCTGACAGAGTGGCATAGGTACAAACCTCTAGGCTACACAGGCTGTGCTAGTGTAAACCAAGCTGCTCTGATGCTGCTTAACTTGGCTTCACACCTCTCAGCACTAGGAAGGGCTAACATTCCCCCCCACACCAGATCTTCAGCATCACTAGCAAGATTGTGTTATAGTAACTCATAAGAACATCAGAAGTTTGCGTTAAGGGGTTGGCAGGACTGGTCTTCGGCAGCTTAAGCACATTTATTTCTGTTTTAACATTAGGATAGGTGGGGTTTTGGCATAAAAAAATTACATATATATAAAATATAAATAAAGGCTAATTATGACTTGCTACTTTCTCTCAAAAATGTAATCTGATCCAAAGTTTACACTTAAAAAACCCTCTTAATTTACGTTCTTATATTCATATTTCTTAAAACAGATTCATCAGTTGAAACATTGCCAACTTAAGCAAAAAACAAAAACAATCACTTCCATCTGAAAAAAATGTATTCCCTACTTCTCGTTACAAGTAATACCTAAGACTGCTGTAACTAGAAGACAGAAAAAAGGTTTTTTTTCTTAGTTCATTTACATTTCTGACAGCACTTTGTGTATGCTCATTTTAAGTGCCTCCCAGGTATAATCATTTTCTCCTTTTGTTTGTGTAGTCTTCCAAAATAGAATAGATAAATGGATCAATCGCAAAATGTGTAAACCACAAAAATTGACAAGAGCTTCCAAAGGTAGGGTATAATATAGCACACTGACTAAATAACTGAACAACTTCTAAAAACTGTTCCAAGTTTACCTCATCAGCATTTTAAACTTTAAAACATCCAAAGTTTCAAGCAGGAATACGTGAGCTTTTTTAATTACTGTATGGACTGGAAAATTTTAACAGACATACCATTTGATATGCATTTTGAGCACTTGTGTCACAATACAGGCTACTGTAGATTCCAACCTAGAAGTATCAAAATTACCTAGAAGCATTTTAAACTGAGAGGCAAAAACAATGCACTTACAAAGTCTGTTCTGACTGGTGGTTGTTTGGATTGAACCTGTAAGATGGAAGTTGTTCAATGTCTGCTTTTGTCAGTCCTCGCGGTTTGGCTTCTCCCAACCGTTCTGCCAAATTCAGCAATGCCTGCAGAATGAGGAGTTTGTGCCTTTTAAACTCATTGTTCAAAGCTGTTCCAGCTCCCCTACAACTGGTCTTAACATTTTATGACCAAAAGTATCTACCTACCATATAGTTTCATCCAAAGTTCTAGCAACAGGGATTGAGAATCTGCATCTCCCTTTCCCATACAATTACAGGCTCTTGAAAAAAAACATTCCTTACAGGCCAACTCCTCTAGCTCCCCCTTCTTGCCTAGCAGAGTTCAGGTATGGAGATTATGTGCTGAGCTTCCAAGGAATGACCAAGTCACATGAGCAGACTTTTTCAGTGGAATATCTGTATTCATGTATAGGATTTGCTATAGAGCACAGTATCAAAACACCTCTCCCCTGTAAATGATTTACTCTCAATACCCCCTGTCAAGTAAGGAAGCTGCAAACTCAGCTTTACAAACAGGGTAACTGAGGCACAAAGAAATTAGGTTGCTCAAATTCACAAAAGGAGTATGTGGCAGAAGTGAGAGCTGAGCCTTGATCTTTCCTGGGCCAGCCTAATGTCGTAACTACAAGATCATCTTATCTCTTAACTGGCATGGCAACCAATTCACAGGCGCTCACACATATCACACTAGAAGAAAACACTGTGCCACTGCAAGGAGACAGAACCAAGGAGAAGGATCATGGGAAAGGAGAGGCAAGCTATGGGACGAGCGGGAAAGGAGAGGCAAATGAGAACGAAAACAAGCTACCCTCTCACATCTTCCCCTCAGCATAGCTACCCTTTCAACTCTCACGTTCTGTTGGTGGGGAAAAAGCAGCAAACAAAACACCCTGCTAAAGTAGCAGCCCAGTTGTTTCAAGAAATAGCTGAAAACTTTAAGTAGCTGTCTGGCCACTCTGTTAGTAATAAAGGCAGTGAGTTCCAGAGAAACAGAAAAAGGAAGAAGTGGGTTTCTAAACTCAGGGCAATGGGGAGGTGACAAGAGCGAAGAAGGGAAGAGAAAGGAAAAATTTAACACATCATCACTGTCCCATTTGCCTAGCTGGGATATATAACCCAAGTGCCAGGGCTGATAAAGAAGAATGGTTTTAAAAAGAACAAAGCTGAACTTGAAAAGTAATAAACTACTTCAAGTTGTACATTAGGTAGTTACCAATGCACTTCCTGAACCAATAAATCTAAGTGCCCACCCTATGATTGTTTACTGCTTTATTTGTGTCACATCAGTATTTGTATTAGATAATTTATCAACTGAAATGGTATTTGCATATTTAAATACTCTTCCAGATCACAACTTTTGTACCTTATTTCCTTATTTCTCAAAGCCTAGGATTTTTAACTAGTAATTTTCTTGGGTTTTTTCTTCCCTGATACTTGTAACTTATTATAGTACCCTTAAAATTAAGGCAACAAAGTGCTTGAGGGAATTCTATAAGCAGTGTTTCACATGTGGCTGAATTCATCTTATAATAGAGCATTCGTGTGTAAAGCTAACCAATAAGCAAGTCACATGAAATGCTCTTACATGGCATTTGCACAATATTTACTTCTATTAAAATTAGGGTGATTAGTAATCTGGAAGGGTTCTGAAAAGAAATATTCACAAAAGAAAAGTCAACGTCTTAGTTTTTTAGCATCCAACAGGCAGAATATTGTTTATAGATTGCTATCTAAATAAATGTAATTTCTGTGAAAATAGAAAGACACAAGGATTGAGGAAAAGATGGCAGTCAACAGAAATTCATCATGGAAGTTAACTACTGTTCCCCAAACAGATGTGTACTTCATAAACCAACCTCGTAGTTTTCCACCTCTCCATCTTCCACATCCAACTCGAAGCTGAAAGCTGGTCCAACTGCAGGTGGCACTGGAAGCATTGATCTGCAGGAAGGTCAGTCAGGGGTAGGGTTCACTATTTATAAACAACTGGCCAAAGCAATTCACTTATGTTCTCCACCTGCAATCTTGTTCACTTATTAAAATTAATGCTTCAGAAATTGATATTATGTTACAATTGAAGATTACAATTCCAAATTCAACAGTTAAGGTACTCACAACAAAGTTAACTCCCAGACATGATATACAAAAATCTTTCAACTGCTATATAAGGTTGTGTCTGAGATACCTAGGAGTCAATATTCCCACAGAAACCTTACCTCCTAATTAGCATCACTGCATTGATAACTAAAATTCAGAACACAACTTCTGGCTTCAATCTGCTTGGCTTTTAAAATAGAACCAAAAAATGCCCAAAGACAAGTAACCCTAAACTTTACGTGGCTCCACTATACAAAAAGCCTCAGCTCTCTAATGCACAAATACTTGTAATTAAGTGTGCAAGTTGGACCAACTGCACATTTTGAGGGTAGATCCCATGGTACATTAGTATACATGTGTACAGTCCTGCAGTGGTATCCACATGCAAAAAGATGATCTGCGAATAGCCGTATCTGTGGCTATCCACAGATACAAAGTGGATAACTGCAGATTTGCAGGGGTCTACGTATACATTATAGGAACTTAGCCCAGGGAGAAATTAGTGGTTTCTGCAACCGGGAAATGAGATCAAGCTTGGGGTGCCCATTTTTCTGTTAATTTTTTTAATTAAAATAAGCACTTTATGTTCCACAAGTTAAGAAAATTCATCTCTATAGTTTAAAATGTACAGTAGCAAGTTTGGTCTCATTAGGCTCGCAGTCTCTCGACTTTGCTAAGTACCAGTGTTGGGGAAGCTGGGAGAGCATCTCGGGAAGTTCTCACAAGAATGTGAGATCTAAAGCTTTGCAAATTCATTGGGTCATTTATTCAAATGTAAATTGGCAGAGTCTGGAACCGCACCGTGCACAAATGCACATAATGACCACCACAACTGGAGGCTTGGGAGTCCAACAAAAGACTTGATACTCAATGAGCTCTTTTTCAGTGCAGTCTTTCAGATAAGGAGGGACACGAATATTCATCTTCTCTTTACAAGCATTTTCTGTTCAGCTCAAAAATAGGTGCAGCATCCACAGAACAAAGCAAATGGAATTTGACTTTTCATCTACCCAATTCAGCAAAAGGACTCCTTCCCAGTCTCATAGGACCATCATAATCCCCAAATTATGCTGCTTCTTCATTCAAAAGGGGGCTGATTGGGTGAAAGACAAATTCAAGGTCTGCAGTAAGTTAGCAGTTCAGGCAACAAGAAAATTAGCAACATACACCGTTCCATTATTTTTCAATAAAACTTTTAAATAGAGTGAAGCAACTTACCCCTGCATTGCTGGGCTTGAATTGAGTTTTTATCCCATTGTAAGGACATGCAATAATGTAACTTGTACTTTCATAACCAAAGTAGTACAAAATCCTGCATGCAAGTAAGTGTGTTTTAAATACTGTTACAGGGGCCCAACTCTCAATAGCCTTGCACAGGAGTCACTGGGTTATGTCATTGCCAACTTCACATTTATTTTGTTTGCTTGTTGAAGTCCTAACACTGTTCACAAGAAGATGCAAACACTTCAAAAATTGTAACAGCAAGTGTCTGACTTCTGTTCAGCCTTGAAACTGGCTTAACTGTTTTTGCTTGTGGGCAGAGCCCAAATGTGGACAATTTGGAGATGAAAGTTACAAGCAACTGATCAAAGCCCATTACTATAGAAATGCTGAAGCAAATTAATGACAGGTGTTGCTATGTGCAGTGTCTGACACATAACAGGCTTTATATGGTGTTGCACTGAGGACAGGACAAGGCCTATGTTGAAGGGATCATTTTAAAATAAAAATACATTAAAAGCATTATTTAACAAGCTACAAACCCTGCACAGAACTTACAGCACATATGGTAACAGGCTGGGATGATAAGGGGGTGGTGGAATTGGCTGCTGGGATCGGTATCTACTGCGCCCTGTGAGTCTTCGAGGCATAAAGGGTGGATAAGGCTGGGAGGGAGAAGAAAAGCATCAGTATTTTCTTGTACAGTTTATTAATAAATTTAACTGAAATTCAGACTATTAGAATATCAGACCATGATTGTTAAGTACATTACCAAACTACATTTAAAAGTTCATTCAAGCAGTTCTGTTAAACAAGAGTTGCTAATTATGCAGTTTCTACCATTCTGTGTGAAATGCCTGATATACACAACACACAAAGGAAACCAAATCCATCTAAGGCCTGGTCTAAAACCAGGGTTAGTGCTAGTGTAACTATTTTGGTTAAGAGTTATGATCTTATGACCTATTGATATGGTGACCTTGGCACAAGCCTTAGTGTAGACACAGTTATATCAATATGATAGGGCCATACCACATTCATAACTACAAAAAACATCACAGACAGTGAAATCTGGTCAATTCCATCTTGTCTGTATTTTACCCTCTACTAACAGACTTCATGGGGGAGACCAGTGTTTCCCATACTGAACATCCTCACTCAAAAAGGAGTTGCAGGAGTCACAACATTATTTTAGGTGGGATCACAGTATGGCCACCCTTACTTCAGAGTTAGAAGGCTGGAAAGCAGTGGTTGTTGGCCAGACGCCCAGCTATGAAGGCAGTGCCCCATCAGCAGTAGCACGGAAGTCAGGGTGGCAATACCATACCACGACATCCTTCCCTTCTGTGTTGCTACTTGCAGCATCTGTCTTCAGAGCTGGGCTCCTGGCCAGCAACTGCTGCTTTCTAGCTGCCCAGCTTTGAAGGCAGCAACACCACCTACAGAAGCGCAGAAATAAGGGTAGCGGTATTGCAATCTGCTCCCCCACAATAATCATATAAAACCCTTCCCCACTTCTTTTTGGGACAGCACCCCTACAATTATACCCCATGAAATTTCAGATTTAAATAACTGAAATAATGCATTCTGCAATTTAAAAATTCTATAACTGTGAATTTGACCAAAGGGGACCATGAAATTGATAGGGCCCTACGTATAAAGGCTCCTTATAGTTGGGGCCCTACCAAACTCAGTTAATTTTGGTCATTTTCAAAGTCATATAATTTTAAAAAATTGTAAATTTCAGGGTTTCACATGTTTACATTTGAAATTTTGTAGTGTCAATCATGGATGGCCCCTACTCAAATGGCAGTTGTTAGGGAATGGGGTGTATGTCTTTTGCTAATGTTGTATGTGGGGGTGGGGTGTTTGTAGTATTCCCACTTTTACTTCTGTGCTGCTGTTGGCAGGGGTACTACCTTCAAAGCAGGGCAGCCTGCTGGATCCCAAGCTCTAAAGCCAGTGCCACTTTGCTGTGGGAACATGCCTATATCCAACTGGATTGATGAAGGTACGCTTTCACTGCAGCTGGGAGTGCATTTCCCAGCTCAGGCAGCTGGACACAAGCTAGATGTACTTGAGCTAACATGCTGCAACAGCAGTGTAACGAGGGAGCATAGGCAACAGCTTGGCTTAGCCCATCTGAGTACAGATCTACCTGGTGCACTCAGGCAACAAGCTCAAGCAAATTGCTCGAGCTACCCCAGTTAGACGCATGCTTAAAATAAGTATATCTACCTGAGCAGGGAAGCACACTTCCAACTGCAGCGCAGACATACTCTAAGGCTGTATCTACACTCCTGGCTCTTGCGCAAGTAATATGCAAATGAGGCTAAGGGTGGAATATCGCTGAGCCTCATTTGCATACCTAATGAGCCACCTTTTTTTTCAGAAGAGGCTCTTGCACAAGAAGGAGCATCTACACTGCCCCTTCTTGCGCAAGAAAAACCCTCTTGCACAAGGCTGTTACACCTATTACTTTTCAGGAAGAACGGCGTTGCGCAAGAGGGTTTTTCTTGCGCAAGAAGGGGCAGTGTAGACGCTCCTTGCGCAAGAGCCTCTTCTGAAAAAAAAGGTGGCTCATTAGGTATGCAAATGAGGCTCAGCGATATTCCACCCTTAGCCTCATTTGCATATTACTTGCACAAGAAGCCGTGAGTATAGACATAGCCTAAGTGTGATAAAAATCTCAGTACAAAACAAGTGCAGCATTGCAAAATGTAGAATTTCCATGCTACAAGTAGCAGACTCTGCTAGAACAGAAAATCACTGCAAGCAACTAGCATGTACAGGTAATGTTTATCAGAAGTCATTAAATGTTACTAATAAACCACCTTCAACTTGTTTAGCCATGGAAGTTAAACAAATTTCATTACAGTATGACAGCCTCTAACAAAATTCTTCCTAGTAATTTTTTTTTTTTTAAATACAATGGTTTTGATGTCCACTGTAACCCATGCATGGTACTGATGAGCTGAGAAGCAGAGGAAGAGGGAAGTGCTGAAAGCAATACTTACTACTCCAAAGGACACCTCCTGGTGTAAGGGGTCGTGCGTTAAGAACTGGAGAGGGGCTGAGGGAGTCAATGTTGGTGGATGGGCTGAGGGAGGGTAGGTAAAACCTCCTACAGGAAGATGTTCTCCAAGCAGTTCTACTTCGTTCTCTATCCTCTGAAGTGGCTAAGAATAAATGGTATTTGCTGTATTTAGGACAGTTAATTCTTCCGCACAGATGAGATAAACTTACAACTTTGTGCTCCCCACATTGTCTTTATCCTTTTATAGAATAAATATAACAGATTGGATTCATGGTTTCTGCCACCAACACCAATGGAAAATCCATCATTTCTCTGTCCCACCCAGTTAAATAAGGATCTAGTACAGAGTTCCCAAACTTTTCTTACGATGTACACCCTATCAGATCTACCAAACGACCATGTACCCCTACGCTTCTCACTCATACTTTGGGTGTTCATGTTAACCTTACTTGTCTTGTCTTTAGCCATCTGCACAGATACCGTGTAACACATACAACTGAAAAAACCTTCTAAGTTCTGAGATCAGTTAGATCAGTACCATTGCTGGGTAACTGTATGGCGATTGGAGGTGAAGACTCTGTAGGTCAGCGTCTTTGTATCTGTGTTCTCACAGACACATCCTGAAGTAAATTAACTACCATATTTTATATAATAAATTCCTAAGGGGTTTTACAGCTTTGTCTGACTAGCCCAATCCAAAAATGCAAATACAAAAATTAAAAAGTGCAACTTACCATTACACAATTTCTCCCGTGTACCTCCTCCCCCAAGATGTCCTACGTAACCCCAGCGGTATGCATACCCTGATCTAGTATATAACATTTCCCAGGCAGTCACACTCAGGCCAGGCCATTTGCAAACTTGCAATTACTGTAATTCACTAAGAATATGAGCAGCAGCCTACTCTCCTTGTGCACTCGAGTGAAATGACCTATTAGGAGAGACTGAGGGATTTGGGTTTGTTTAGTCTTCAGAAGAGTGAGGGGAGATTTAATAGCAGCCTTCAACTTCCTAAAGGGAGGTTCCAAAGAGGATGGAGAGAGGCTGTTCTCAGTAGTGACGGATGGCAAAAGAAGGAGCAATGGTCTCAAGTTACAGTGGGAGAGGTCTAGGTTGGATATTAGGAAAAACTATTTCCCTATGAGGGTGGGAAGCACTGGGATGCGTTCCCTAGGGAAGGTGGTGGAATCTCCATCCCTAGCGGTTTTATATCTCAGCTTGGCAAAGTCCTGGCTGGGTTGATTTAGTTGGGATTGGTCCTGCCTTGGGCAGGGGGCTGGACTTGATGACGACCTGAGGTCTCTTCCAGCCCTAGGATTCTATGAAACATCAAATGAAAGATTTTTAGCAAGAGGCTGAGTTCTTCTCTCCTTCTGGCTATAGTCAACATGGCTCAATCAGCACACTGCTGTGGCCTATGTGACAGCCTCCAGGTCATACAAGCAGTATGTAGTGTGAATGCAGCCCACCTAACAGAGTACTACATATGCAACCCACAATGGTAAATAGCTTGAGAACCGCAGGTCTACAGTGGAAGTAACCACCTGAAGTCAGCAACCAGAGATAACCAAAATAGGGATGTAAGCAACTCTTGTACATTTCAAAGGGATAGGCGCAGCAGTTAGGACCCTGAACATGCAGGGACTGCTTTGGTCCCCACTTTCACAGGTTCCCTGCTGCGCCTCTTCCTTTGAAATGTGCAAGAGTCACCCACGGCTCTTGTTCAAAGGCAAAGACGTAATGGCATAGCGAGCACCCCACTTATTGAGTAATCAAGTAGCTGATGGAAATTCCATTGAGTAATTGATTAGCTGATTAATCAAAACTTAACATCCCTAAACAAAATTGACTAGCAAGCTTAAAATCACAAGGGTGTACAGAAAGACAAAGATCTCAGTCAGTGCAAGTTCCCGAATAAAATATTCCATAGCAGTAAGAGGGCTTAGACAGGATAGCTGGTCAGGATCCTAGCCTGGGACTCAGGAGACCCATATTCAATTCTCTGCTCTAATAAAGTCTATGTGATCTGGGAGCAAGTCACTTTGTCTTCATTTGCCTGGGCTCCCAGTCTATAAAATGGGAATAACTGCACTTCCCTACCACATAGGGATCTTGTGACAATAAATACTCTGAAGAGTGGGAAGCGCTATGGGAGCTAGGTAAGTATCTAAAACAAACAGATTTTAAATCAGTAGCTACATATGGTGAGCAGTATCTTAACTGCCAACTCCTTTAGTAGCAAGAAGTGTCTAATCCACAGATTATCTCAAAAAAGATTCTAGTTCTCTACCCTTTCCTTACAAGATTTGTTACTTACATATTTCCAGGTCCCACTGCTTCTGCTCTGTGCCTGAGCAAGTTAAAAATGTCTCTTTGGGAAAGCTAATGGTTTGCATGTGAAATAAGAACCGTTCTCCTCCTCCTGTGCCTCCTCCACCAAACCCCGTTCCCCTTGAACACTAAATCACAGGCTATGGACACACTGTACTGAGCTTCTGTGTCCTCTTGGTTGCTTTCATAGCAATGGCAGCCTTGCATCGCATTTACACAAGGCATGTAAAATACCCTCTTTACCTAGTGACGAAGCCATCACTTCTAGCTGCTAAATAGGAGGCTTCTATTCCCCTCTCTTGAAGGGCTCAGGTTATTACGCCCAATGAATGTACACAAGCTCTGCCACATGGTCAGCAGGCCTCACAATGATGAGCTTTGTCTGTGACACCATTTCATTAGAAAGACACTTGTATCGGCCCTGCAATGATACTTCGCTACACTTAACCTCCGAAATCAGTCAATTATTTGCCTGTAGAAGGGAAATCTGCTCAGGTGGGTGTCTCTCTGGCAGAACAGCAAAGTAAAGGACTACAAGTGAAACAGCCAAGTAGGAGGCACCCTGCCCATTCCCACAAACACTCTGGTAATCAATTCAACAGATTTTTAGTTCTGTTTTAAATTATTTCTGGGCAGAGAAGCAGCTTCACAAGTTCCAGCCCAAATGACAATGTTAGTAGAAATTCATGAATAGCATACAACAGCAGTTGTGGCTAGATATGCTAAGCTATAGAGTCCCGCAATTCTGTGGATATCCACTTGATATCCACATATCATTTTTGCAGATACAGATGTGGATATCCATTTTGTATCTGCACAGGGCTCCACTAATCTAAAGCACCGCTTGATTATATCTTACTTCATTGTTAAGAAATTTGGTCTAAAAAATTCTAAACCCCCTGCTGTCTCACCAACTGTCCCTTTACATCTGATTGCATGTAGATAGCTCCACCCATTTCACAAAACACACCTGAATAACTACTGGGTGGAAACAAAGGGAAGGGGAAATTCTGCCTCCTTTTCTGCTGAACAAAACTTTAAACAGTTGGCATTTCTATGGCATTCATCATTTTAACTCTGAGGGCCAGGCATAGTCTGTGTTGACACCCAACATAGAGTCATCTGCTGTTAGCATCAACACCACATCTGACTACTTTAGGTTCAACCATAAGGGCCGTGCACAGGACCGAGTACTTCAACTGAAACTGCTCTTTTGTATATTGGCTCCTGCACCCTACTTTCCAGCCAGACTCCAACCCCTGTCCACCACGCTCCGGCACCCATTTTGTCATCATAGGTGGTTGACTGGTAGTCTGCAGAAAGGCCTACATTCAGCAGGGTGAGCCACATAGGCCAAAACGGTTGAGAACCACTTATCTAGGAGGATACAGATACCTGTCCACAGTTTCAAAGAGTTAATAAATGGGGATCGTGACATCTCACTTTTTGTTAGGAGAAATATGTAAAATCTATTTCTGTATGGACCCCCATCACAAAGCTGATACCCTCTCAACTAAGCTTTCCCTGAGTGGAAGAGCTTCATAATCTTCTCCAAAAAATTAATGTAGGCTCTACTGACAGAAGCAGAGGAGGAACAGAGCATGTGGTCTGGAAAATGCCAATAAGGGTACGTCTAGACTACATGCCTCTGTCGCCAGAGGCATGTAGATTAGGCTACCCGACATAGTAAAATGAAGCGGCGATTTAAATAATCGCCGCTTCATTTAAATTTACATGGCTGCCGCGCTGAGCCGACAAACAGCTGATCAGCTGTTTGTCGGCTCAGCGCGGCAGCCATGTAAATTTAAATGAAGCGGCGATTATTTAAATCGCCGCTTCATTTTACTATGTCGGGTAGCCTAATCTACATGCCTCTGGCGACAGAGGCATGTAGTTGAGCCGACAAACAGCTAATCAGCTGTTTGTCGGCTCAGCGCGGCAGCCATGTAAATTTAAATGAAGCGGCGATTATTTAAATCGCCGCTTCATTTTATATGTCGGGTAGCCTAATCTACATGCCTCTGGCGACAGAGGCATGTAGTCTAGACGTACCCTTAGACAAAGGTAAATGTAATTTTTTCCTCTCTCAGATTCTTACAGGCCTTGGACTTTTGATTGGAAGTTCTATCATAGCAGCAAAAACCTGTAACAGCTAATGAGTGGCAGGTGAACCCACTTTTTTCTACCATAAAGGCAGATGACCGATTATAGCAAATATTCTAGGAAAGGTAAATAGTAAAAAATGATACATACCGACCGTGACTGTTGTGTTTGGAAGGGAACAAACTGGCCTGGTGGTGGCAGGTGTGGAGGATGGTGTGGAGAGAGGTGAGGAGGATGCAAAAGAAATGGATCGCTAGAAATAAGAGGTGGGAATGCTGCATATGGTACTGGTAAGTGTTGGACTGAGCATGCCTGAAGCATCTGTAAAAGAAAAAGAAGAGACCACCATTTACTATTTTACAATTCAGCATCTAACCTGAATATTCCTTTGATTTACATGAATTTTGTTGTTGCCTTGGAATGCAATTAATGATATTTTATTTAACCCACTCAAGAACTGAGATTTATTTCAGGGCTTTGATACCACAGGGCAAACCTGCAAGGTGCTGAGTACCCTTCACTTCCATTAAGGTAAGGGGAGTTGAAAATGCTTTACATCTCTCAGGATCAGGCAGGACTTCTGCCTGAAATACAAGAAGGGGCAGGTGTTACTTACCCCAGTAGCTTCTATTCTTCATACGCATTACCTCCTCAGAACCACATGACTAACTACATCGCTACACGACCATTTTAAGCAGTAATTTGGACAGACAAAATGTGTGGTAATACCTTATTAGACCAACTTCTGTTGGTGGAAGAGAAACTTTTGAGCTTACGGAGAGCTTCTCATCAGCTTATCCCAAGAAAAGCTTGAAAGCTTGTCTATGTTACCAACAGAAGCTGGTCCCATAGAAGGTGTTACTCCACTTGAACATCCAGGGATCAACATAGTTACAATTAAATAGCAACTCATCTCTCAAGTCCTAGGTATAAATGTTCTAACCCCATGCCCTGCTCAGCTCTTCTCGACCTTCAGAACCCAAACTTGCGAAGTGCAGGAGAGGAGAGTGTCATTGTGGCACTGTGGCAGTAACACACCCTAGAGCTCTGTATCAGGGATGTTAAATATGGGTTAATTGAATAGTCAATTAACTACATGAATTTTTATCCGTTAGTCGACTATTCTAAAGTCCCCAGGGACGAGGCTCGCAGCCAGTGTGCTCCATCCCCACTCCCGAGGAGACCCCTGCCATTCTGTGCTGCTGCCTTTCTATCAGAGGCAGCATCATGGGGTGCAAGGCAGGAGCTGGTCCACAAGGGAAATCAATTTAAAAACTAGCTCTTCTCTCAGACCAGCTGCCTGTTGCCCCGCATTGCTGCACATCATGGGGTGGCAGCAACCCCCTCCTCCTGTGGGAGGGGCGGGGCTGAGCTCCCAGACTTCACATGAGCCAGAACTGAGCTGGGCTGACTGCCCACCTGGCTCCTAATACACTTTAAATGCAGAGTCACAGTAGGGATAGGTCCTGGACCTAGTGTGAGCCAGAACTGAGTCAGGCTGCTGGCCAGCCTGCTAAAAAATTTACTGGCGGAGAGGGTGTGCGCGAAAGAAAATGCGTCATCTATAGCATTAACGTACACTTTTGCTTATCGGTTAATCGATTACACTATTACATGTAATGTTTGTTAACTGACATTTCAAAATTTGAAAAAAGTTTAACCAGCCCTATAGTTAATCTTAAAACAGGGAGGAGGGGTGAAGTACCCAGGTTCTCTTTTTTTACCCTGAATTTTGCAAGCAGGAGGTGGGCTAAGGAGCACTACTAACTGAACAACAATCCCAAGCATCTGCTCTTGACACAAGAGAGAAACTCCCCATTTGTGAAGGTGTGGACTGCATTTCAGAGAGGAATCCCACAAAAAGGTTCTGCTAAGGGCATATTGTGGATATTTGCCACTGAAGCTACCATACTCCCTAGTGCACGAGCCCTGGGAAGTCTGGTACAAGATGAAGGTCTGCTTCTAACAAGAGCACATGCAGTCTTATGCATCCAAGATAATCCTTCTGTTGAGGTGGCCTGATTTGTAGCTTTCCAGAGGCCACAGATTGCTAGGCTTCCTACCAGGGTTAGTCCTGCCCAAGGAGGGACAGCAATTTTGATATCCACGAGAAGCAACTTGACTTCCCTCAGTATGGTTATGAGGCTTTGGAAAAAATACAGGCCTTGAGACAGACATGAAGATTGTATAGGTTAGGAGTTCTAATGACTAGAATCCAGCTCTAAGACTCCCAGCTGAGCCAGACGGCCCTAAGACAAGGGAAAAAGGGAGAGAGAGAGAGAAAGATTCTATGGACTCAGAAAAACCCTTCATAATGTTAGTGGAAGCCAAATTCAAGTCACTGGGATAATCTGTTGAAAATGAGTTAAAGTGCAATGCTATGGTCAAAAGAGGTTTATGTGATATCCTGGATGTGCAAACCGTCTCAAGTAAGAGTAAGGAGGCTATATATTATCCCTGTACTTAGTACTGGTGCAACCGCCACAGAGATATGGTGTTCTGTTTCTAGATATATACCTTTGATTTGGCCATATGAAAAGTCATACTGTTTGCTCTCACACAGCTTACCAAGCAAACCAGATTGCTTCCTATCAGTGACCTGTCCTCTTCATTGTTTACCACTTACATTTCCTGTCACCCACGAACGTTCATCAATGGACTTGATGTTTTCTTCTAGGTCAATGACAAAAGTATTAAACAGCTTAAGGCAATGAACCGACCCCTGCAGAATCTCACTAGCAACACCACGCACTCTCTATGGTGAGTCCCTGTTTGCAATGCATTCCAAGATTTTCAATTAATCAGCATTTAATCCAGTTAATGTGTAGTATGTTAATTGTACGTAATTCTTTTTTAATCAAAATGTCACCTGGTACCAAGTCAAATGCCTTGAAGCTGTCAAGCTTTTATTTTAGACTAAAAATTTTCCAGCTCTTGTCTCTGCCCAAAGCTGATTAAAAAAAAAAGTTATGCAAACATAGTTCAGCCATTTCTTAGATGAAGGCAATGAAAAGCCAACTTAACATTAATAAAAAAACTTTTTGTGAAGAATTAATATTTACAGGTGACTCTAGAACGCTAACATTTGAGACAGAAAATGAATGTTAACCGTCCAATGAAAAATCAAATTTGATTTGTCACAGATCTATGCACTGACCAAGTGAGATCTTGTGGAAATAGCACACTATCATGTGGTTAAAAACTATTGTAATGTAGCACAAGAGGCCAGGGCTGAAGTTGGGCAAGCAACTATTTCCTCACATTCATTTTTCACTGTGAATGTAACATTCTCTTAATAGTGATTTCACTGAACAATATACATAGTAAAACTGACATATTATCCCCTTGCATGAATAGCTTAAACTGTATTTCTATATGTGTCTTATGACTTTTATTAGCAAATTTCTTATGATTTGAAATTATAAAATAACAACAACTATGTGTCACGGATAAGGCAGCAATCTGTTTAAATGAAGATGTTTCCAAACCTATGTAATTATCTTCTACCAGATGTGTACACTAGGACGAGAGCGCTTCTTCTCCAATCAGATTATACCACTTCAAGCATTACTCAAAGATTTTCTTCTCTGTGCTTCCCATGTCAGTTTGTTAAACACTCTTAAAATTAATCCCTCTGAAGCTTTAATTGTAGCGGTCGCTTCATTGGGAAGGCAGATAGGTGTGTGCACCATCATTCAGTTCTTGGGGTTGCTCTGAATTGATACTCTTCCTGATTTCATTTGTTGCTCCCTAGCAATTTTGGAGTCATGTGACACTGCCTCTTCTGCAGAATTTCAGTTTCATTGTCAGTCACTCACAACTGTGAGCTAGATGTGGCTTCACAGAAGGGTACTGAGCATTACAGATCCACAGCTTTTAAAACTATGCCAATCTATACAGACAGGAGAGTTCTCCTCCGGGCTGCTCCAGCACTCTGACCAAGTAACAGATGACCTGAATTTTAACAGCTTCCATTCCCTGCACAGAATTGATGTGCTGCAGCAAAGAAACACCTATGAAAACTCCACTGGTTTGGCATCCAATGCTCTGGCACTCCTGATGGTCCGGTACCATTGGGAACCCAGAAGTGCTCTGGGCAGCCAGACAATTGGAGCTGCTCTGCACCCAGCTTCCCCGATTCAGCCGCTGCTGAAACAGACCAGCAGCTAAATCGGGGATGCCAGGGGCAGAGCAGAGCAGCTGGGGTGCTGCCGGGTTGGTCCCGTAGAGCTGCCCCCTGGGGCTGCGGGACCAACCCAGCAGCATCCCAGCATCTCTGCCACAGGCGTCCCCGATTCAGCCGCCGCTGAAACTGACCAGCAGCGGCTGCATCGGGGATGCCTAGGGCAGAGCCAGGCTATCAGAAGGGGGAGCTATGAAGGGGCTGGGGGGACCTCCCCCCCCCCCCCCCCCACCCCAGACCCCTCATAGCCCCTCCTTCCGATAGTTCGGCATATCCGATAATTCCGGCATATCCAATAATCTGGCACCCCTGGGTCCTAAAGGTGCCGGATTATCAGAAGTTTACTATACTAGGCATCTTGCACTGCAGGATGCCAGAAAGCTGAAGAAGATAGTCAACTGGGAGCGAATGGGATTCAGACAAATTGTATTATAACTGCTATTTATCCCTGGCCCCTCAATTTGAATGTATTAGGAGCTTCTGAAATAGATTGCGCTGGCAGTGTAAAGGGTCTTGAAATGGCTCTGAATGTCATTTCCAATGTAGAGTGTCTTTAGTGTGAGAACTGTTACAAATAATCACTGCTCAAACAGGCCCTGAAGTCATCCTTAGGATTTACAGTGCCCTACACAAGGCTATTAAACTGGTGCCCATATGTCCAACAGCAGCCCAGAGTGAAGGGGGAGGGGGAAGTTGATTATTTTTTTAGACTGTGATTTTATAATCTTCACCACACTAAACTAATGAAATATTTTTGAAGCAAATTAAGATGCTGCAGACTAACAATGTAAATTCAGAAACTGACAGCATGTACCTGAGGTTGACAAATGCCTGTTAAATGGCTTCATTACCACTTGAATTAGGGATGTAAAATCCCAGTTAATTTGTTAACCGGTTAAACTTAAGGAGCCAGCAGTCCCAAGTCCCAACCCCGCTGTGGGGCTGGAGCAGCTCTCTGTCCATGTCATGTTTCTCCTGGGTACCAGTAACTAGATCCTCTCAGGAGAAAACAGAGCCACAGAACAGGGATCAGAAAAGGCAGATGGGTGAACTTTAAGACTCAGTGCTGTCCCCAAATTTTCAGTTGCATATTCTGCATATGAGTAAGAACATCTCTGCCTAACATACACAGGAGCTGGAGAGGAAAAGAATATTCTGCTTTTAAAAAATTATGCTGCTCTGAAATGGGGCTCTGAGTGTTGGTATGTTAAAAATGTTGCAAAATGGACTGATGTGCTTCTACATAGAAACTTGATAATATTACACGTAAAAAGGCTTATTTATGCATTGTTAAAAGTCAGGAAAGCACTTTACTCAGGAATTAAGGTCCTTAACACAATGTTAGTTCACCCCCTACCCACAATGTGAAGTCACCCATTTTCATAACTCCTAGAATCATAAATCAAGGCAAAGTTAACTGTGTAGAATCAGTACAGAAGTGTGGGCTATAGAAGTGTTCAGTATTGGGGATGGTACACAAGAATTGGTACCAAGAGAAATACGGTCCTTGTAAGTCCTGATTGAACTAGGGATGTTAAATATCGGTTAACTGAATAGTCAAGTAACCTCATGAATTCTTATCGGTTAGTCAACTATTCTATAGTCTCTGGGGGCGGGGCTTGAAGCCAGTGCGCTCCGGCCTCACTCCCAAGACGACTCCTGCCATTCTGTGCTGCTGCCACTGTATCAGAGACAGCAGCACGGAGTGCCAGGGGGATCCGGTCTGTGAGGGGAGCCAGTTTAAAACCCAGCTCCCCTTGTGGATCTGTGTTGTCACCCTGGGTTGCTGCCTCTGATAAAGAGGCAGTGACACAGGGTGGCAGCAGCCCATGTCTAGGGGTGGTCTGAGCTCCTGGACCTGGTGAAAGCCAGAACTGAGCTGAACTGCTGGCAATTTGGGAGGGAAATGTGTGTAGTCTATAGCATTAACCTATAAGTGTTTGCTTATCAGTTAATCAATTAATCGACTACACTTTTACATCCCTAAATTGAACACAAAGATGTTTTTCCAGTCTACATGTTCTAAATGATACTGGGGTGTAAACTAGGGATGTAAGCAACTAGTTGACTATCCAATAAGCATAAGCTTAGTCAAATAGTGACAACTAGTCACTCTCCTCCCTCTCCCTCCCCTCACCTCTATCAGAGACAGCAATGGGGTAAGAGCCTGGTGGCTCTTACTATATTTAAAAAGCAGAAGCGTGGGAAGGGGGGGACCAGGAGCGAACCGGGACAGCTGATTCCCTGCTCACACCTGGTCTTCCCAACCCCACCCCCAGCTGTGCTACAGCCTTTTAAACCCTGGTGGCTCTTCATACATTTAAAAGGCTGAAGCACAGAGGGGTTAGCTCCCAGCTACAGCTCGGCAGTTTTCCCCTTATCAAGTAGTCGATGGAAATTCCATTGGCTAGTCAATTAGTTGATTAAACACAATTTAACATTCCTAGTGTAGACATATGGTTACTTCCATATGAATTATCACCTTATTTTAAAACACATATGAAAAGACAGTTTTCTGAATTTCCAGGGTGTTTGAGAAAACTCCTTGGAGTGGCATCCACTTAATTTGTTACTTGTACAATAGGGAGTGAACTGTCAGCACTTAAGGATAACTGTCTCTTGAACAAGGTGGCATGCACATCACGGAGCTGGATGGTATTCTCCACCTCATACCTGAAGACTATTACTGGATGAACTGTTCATAGCATTTTGGGTCTGAGACAGGAAAGAGCTACCTAAGCAAGTCAGGTATTCTGCTCTCAGCAACTTGGGAGAAACGTGATTGCTAGATAAACAAGGATGTTTTGACAGTTGCTTTCTTAATGTGTTTCCAAACAGTTGAAATAGCTTTTGGCCTGTGTTAGTCTTTTTTTTTTTTTTTAAATCTTGCTAGTATTTACACAAATTATTAATTTAGAGATGTAGATGGAAGGATTTATTTTGTCTAGCCACACAATCTCTTGAGGGGAGGGGTCTTTTATTTTAATGGGTTTCCAACTATTTTATTAACTTTAAAAACCCTTTCGTCCAAATTTCTGAACTTGTTTCATGAACCTATTGATGTATGTTCAGATACTGGAGGCCTAAGTTGTTTTTAATTCAAGTCAGAACTATGTTAGCATAAGAAAATGCTGCACCACAAGAAAAAAATACATAACCCACACAACGCTGCATCAAGCTAGAAGGCCTGCTTATACACCCCCCGTTCTTCTCTTTGGCCCAGTGAAGAGTGGATTTCACAGATGACAACTGCAAAACCACATTAAGGGGAAGCTCCAGGCTGCCCACCCCACCCAATGGAGATGGAAAAGCTCTGTCATTTATAAACCTACTAACCGGAGGAGGCACACTGCAAACGGGAAGGTGCTGTCCACTGAAAACCACAGAACATCCTGGGACCTGCTGCGTGTTACAAGCTGGTATGTGCTGGCCTGTGCAAAGCGGAATCCCATGTGGTGCCACTGTTGTTACTGTGTAGGAGACAGGGACTGTGCCCTGGTGGATCTGCATGGAAAGAAAACAATTTTCAGTAATTTTGTTAATTTACTCAATTTGGAGGGGTCTAAAGAGTTATGATTTGACATTTAAAAATGAAGCAGTACCTCCCACATAAAAGCCTATTAAAATCAGAAGGAGAAATGTAAAAGTAGCTAAACAATCTTCCAATCTCTCATAGGAAGAGTGTCTAGATGATTTTCCACAGAGATATCAAAGGAAAAACTTCAGATTTTCTTTTTTGGCAAGATACCCATCTCTGTGTATTCCCACTCTAAGGCTAAAGCTCCAGGAATGTGTCTAAAATAAATGCAATAGCACAGTGGATAAAAATAAAGGCTAACTTAAAAGCTGGAAAGGTTACACACCTATAACTATGGTTCTTTGATCTAACTCCCAATAAGGATCCACACTGCTGGTCTGAGAATGCCAGATCCAGCATTTTCAAAAGATCCTGAGATTTACAGCCTTCCCTTTTCAAAAGAACCACCTCTAGACTGCGGTTTTACTTTCCAAATTGCGCTTTTTTGAAAGAGCGCCATGACGCGATTATGCAAATGAAACGCGGGAAATTCAAATCCCGGCTTCATTTGCAATTTCGAAGTGCCTAATTTACATCCCTCTATCGAAAGAGGGATGTAGTCTAGACGTGCCCAGACAGCCCCAGCTACTGCTTGGTTTCTTACACTATACTAGAAATATCCAGTACAGACTCCAAGGAACTAGAGACAAGGAACATGGCTCCATAAAAGGCAATTATTTTGTAAAACCCTTCTTCCTTCATGAATTGCTTCCTTCTTGAAGAATTAATGAGGGGGAGCAATCCAGTACACAGATGGAAACAAACATAAATTAGGGCCATCAAACAATTAAAAAGAATCACAGTTTTAATCACACTGTTAAACAATAACAGAATTGTATTTAAATATTTTAGGATGTTTTCTACATTTTCAAATACATAGATTTCAATTACGAGTAAGAAGTGCATAGTGATTCCTTTATATTATTTTATTACAAATATTTGAACTGGAAAAAAATTCAGTTCAACTTCATACAAGTACGATAATGTAATCTCTATAGTGAAAGTGCAATTTATAAATGTAGATTTTTAACATAACTGAACTTAAAACTGAAACAGTGTAAAACTTTAGAGCCTACAAGTGCACTCAGTCCTACTTCTTGTTCAGCCAAATGCTAAGACAAACAAATTATTTAGAATTATTGCCTGTAAATGTGTCTACTATTTCTTTACCATGTTACCTGAAAGTGCAAACAGGTGTTCTCATGGCATTGTTGTAGTCGGCACTGCAAGTTATTTACATACCAGACATACTAAACATTTATATGAACTTTACTGCTTCCTTAGAATAATTAAAAATCAATATAATGACAACTAATGTTTAATTGAGTTAATTTGTTTTGCGTTAACTCCAATTGACAGTCCTGATATAAAGACAACTGCTCTCCTGATCCTCTACAGCAGGGGTCTCCAAACTTTTCAGCCCGAGGGCCGCATTAACTATCAAACAGCAGTTCGGGGGCCGACTACACACTTGAGGTCCAAGTAAAAAACAATCAAAACATGGATGTTGTTTTTAATTATTTATTTAATATTATTTTACTCAGTTATTATTTAATAACACATTGATACACTACACATGAACACCTGTATTAGTGTGAATGGTGAAATTGTTTCCTGGATGCCAAAATAGCAGACATTTCTGGCTTTAGAAATCACTGTTTGAAATTGGGGGTGGTAGATTATCATCGGACAAGTTTGTTCTCAAATTGTTCTTCACGTATTTCATTCTTGAAAATGTTTGTTCACACAGGTATGTTGTTCCAAAGGTTGAAAGGTACCTTGATGCAAAAGTTTTGACATTAGGAAAGTCTTCCTTGGGCAAAAACTGGTAAAAACCCACCAGTCCTCTTTTAATTCGGTAAAAACATAACGTCCACGTAAGCGGCGGCTGATCTTGGCAGGATACACGTAAATTTCCGTAATTTTTTTTCCGTAGACAAAAAGGTCTCCACGGGCCGGATGAGAGGGCCGTAGTTTGGAGACCCCTGCTCTACAGCATCATGAGTATCACTACACAGATGACTGACTAGAACTCCAAGCCTCAGTCTTGCATACCTCTGTCGTGAAAATATTCTGGAGAGACAGTCTAAGAGACCTCTGACTTAGCTTGGGTAAGGTAACACTGCAGACTTTTTGTCCAGGGTTAGCAGGTTTCTAGGCAATGACTGCAAGAGAGGACTACTGCTCATAGAGCAGACCAGCCCATGGTGTACAGGAGGAAGTGATCCTTTCTCTGCAGCAGAGTCCATGTCAAGCACCGGCATGAAGGACCCACAAGTCTCCAAAGCAACACCAACATACTGTTCCAGAGGATGCCAAGAAACAACACTTGCTTTCCCAATACATTTCCTAATATAACCTCACCAGCCAGCTTTAGGGGACAAATTTGGAGTTTATTTTGGGGTGCTCCAGCAAACTAATCACTTATCAGACATGAAGGAAAATTCTGAGAAGGCCAGAAGTACTGTTGGCAAGTGCACAATGTGGATGTCTGCTTATTGAGAACAGCACCCCACAGAGTACATAAACAAGTGATCTACTATCTGCATGGGGCTCATTAGTTTACAGGCCGAATTTTACATTGTTACAGCCAACAAACGCACTTGATCTATAAATCTTTGAATGCGAAGGGTGAGGCTATGCTAGGGGACATTTTCGCCAAAGGTCTTTGATTCTGGAATCTGCTCCACTGTTAGTCTCTCAGTCCAAAGCTTAACTTTTGGGACATACTTCAAAGCGTAACTGTTCCGGGCATTTGGAGACTGAGCAACTCATGGGTTAGAGTAACAGATTTGGGGCTGAAAATGAGTCTATCCTATCCATATGTAGGCCGTCAATTAAATGCACCGTGAATTCTATTTTTATATCATCTATTTTAATCCTGTAAAAGCACCTAGCTAAAGCTAGGACTTCATAAACACTGAGATAAAGTACATACTTCCTTGCTACCACAGCTCCTCTCAAATGGAATTCACCTCAGAAGCAGAACTATTTTTCTCAAGGTCTGATCTGAAGGTTTTTGTAACCATGCTGTTGGCTGCCATGGCCAAATGGTAACTTTCACTGCTGACAGGCTCTCTGATTTATTTATTTTTACAACCAATATTTTCTATTTCATCTGCTGTATGTTACTAGCACACCATTATGACTTTTAGAAGAAACTGCCATGACAGATGCCAGCAGTAGTTACCACAGTGTTCTGTCTTCTGTGCCAGCTACTTGGCGTTTCTGAAAGTCTTAAGAGAAATGCAGTGTCCTTAGCATATTCAGCCCAACACTTTCATACCTGTTCATGAATATCAACCATCACTGCATTCTGCTGTGGCGGATGAGCAGCTGGGTGCAACATACGGGGGGATACATTCGGTGGGTGGAAGGCTCGGGGCTCTTCTATTGCTTGTTGCTGTCCGTAGGAGAGATGGTGATAGTTTTCATCTTGACTAATGGAATTATGTCGAGACAGACGATCCCTTCTCACTCTCTGGCGTCTAACAGGAGGACTGGGAACACATTAGAAGAAGAAAACGTGTCACCCAAATAGCTACAGGCTTCTTTCTGAAACAAAATTGTACATAATCCAACACTGAGGACAAGTCTATACTAGACAGTTCTGTCAACATTATGTCATGTCAGCTAGGGATGTGTTGTTTTTTTTTTTATAAACCGACAGTAGTACACCAATAAAAGCCTTAGCCTAGATGCAATTATTTCAGTATACTGTAATTGTAGCTAACACACCAATCAGGAGAACCAGCATGAGCTATATTAATGTAAGCACTTTTATACAGATACCGTATGGATGCAATACATTAAAAGAATATGAAGTTTGTCAAATCACTCACTCAAAAGTTAGAAAATGCCAGTATTAAGATTGCTTGTGCAACCTTGTACATATTCATGACAACAGATATGATTACATACTGTTTTTCCAAAAGACACCTGACTCACTCAGCATGCAGATCGGATGGTGCTCACCAACTAATCGGCTAGTCAGTATTTTGTTTTCTCCTCCTTATTCAATGTGTGGCCTCAGGCCTTATTTACTGCACAGTACACTATTCAAACCCTGGTCTGAAAACAGAATGTACAACTTCTTCACGGGCTTCTTCTATGGCACTTAATGTAGTAGATGAATGTTTCAAAAACATTCATTTATTTTCACACCACTAGTGAGCAAAAGTGGTGGTATTAATCTCTAAAATGGGGAACCAAGACATTTTTATGTTAATAATCTATCCACTCATTTTGAGTTACCTATGACCTGAATATGGATCACAACATAGCTCTTCTGGTTTGCAAAGTACAGCTCGTATTGACTTTATTTGCAACTGTCAGTGCTCAGGCCTTCGGCAAATCAGTTGCCAAAGAGTGAAGTCAGCACCCAGAAAATGATGAATTAAAGATACCTGGAGCATGCCCGTTGTAAAGGAAATGGTTGGGAAATTTAGCTGCACTCTAGCAAGTTCTACAAAACATGTGCAAACTGCATTTTTCCCCCAAGTTTTATATTTGGGGCAGATTTTCAAAGAACAGGGAAAGGCACATTTGACATAGGTCACCCTTTGAGCCACATAGAAAACCTCTAGCATGGGGCACTTTTTCTTTGAAGTGAAAGTCACCAGAATGTGACATATGTCACCAGAATGTTTTCTATATCACAGTCAGTTAGAATATAAATTAACTTGTCCAAGATATTCAGGTATTCCTTACGTTAGTGACTGCTTTTAAATGATTAAAAATGGCATTACTTCTAATACACAAAACACACTTGTTCCAAGGTTTTACACCGTTAGATAAGAGAGACCTATATAATTGTTATTACTTTATTACCAAATATATTTTATTTAGTAATGCAGGCAGCAGATTTCAGTTTTAATGAATTCAGATTACACCTTTAAACTTGGTATCGGCTACTGTTAATCTGATTTATACAGCTATTCTTCCGCTAATCTCAGTGTAAAAGCTGTAATGTCATATAAAGGAAGGCCTTGAGTTTGGGGAAGTTCTCAGGAGTGGTTAAAGTCACCAATGGGAGTTTCAACATTTTGAAAAAATTTAGCAAGCAGAGATGCCCTAGTTTCCCCTGCCATTTATCTTCAGACAGTAGCTTGTTTGACTTCAGTTCTGACTTTACCTTTCCACAAGTAGTCCCAGTTGTCAAGCTTTACTTCTGTTAATTACCCAGAAGGGGGGAGGGGGGGAACATAGCTACAGCAAAAACTGTCAACACTTTTTGGGCACTTTTCTATTTACTGGTTTATAGGCAGCATAGAACATAGAAATCTGAAAAAACCAGACCTTGATACAAACAGACTTGTTTTAGGTGGTCATATACACAGCAGAATTGAAAGAAATGTCACATTCCTTAGGTGAAACTCTGAAATAGCCTCCAGATGTGTAGTTCCAGCAGATGACTAATTTGGAATTACTAGGAATGCCTCATGCAAAGCAAACCTGCACTTATCTTTTACTTAACATTCTGGGTTCTCACTTTTAAAAAATACTTTATGCTGGAAGTACTGATTCATTTGCTAGCCATTTGGTAACAACTTCAAAAATTTCCAGTCAGCGTATGCACAGGTTTTGTTCGATAAGTAACACTTTTGAATGGACACACTTAGTGACAGAAACTAAACCCGATAAAAACTGAAGCAAATTCATCATGGGAAGAAAGCCAATTAACTTTGCTTTTAAACGGAATTATGTAAAATCCCACCGAGCTTATTTTACTAATATAGTAATCCATTTTTTATTTGTATTACAATGACGACAGTGTCTAGAAATCCCAAGCAATTTCTAGGCCCACTGTGCAGAGAGTTCCAGTCCTGAGAAGGTTACAGTCTCAACGGACAAGATAGAGGACGAGGTGAAACAGATTCATGATGGCAGGAGCTGAGAATAAAAGATAGGTCTCCTGAGTCACAACCCAATTGCCTATCCACTGGATCACATTGCCTCTACGTAATAATCCAAGAAATCAACTCTCTGGCTTGCATTATTAGTTTTGACTACTAGTTATATGAAAACAAATATAATTTGGCAAGCTATGACCTGAAGTTTCCAGGATGTGTGATTCCTGAAGACAGCTTTAACAATATACTACAGCTTCAATAAACTAACAACAAAGCGACAGTTGACAATCTTTAACTTTGGGAATCAAGAGGGTCTGTTTCTGGCCTAGAAAGTCTGTCTTTTGCATTAATAGAAAGGTGCCAGTTTTCCAACTTTAAAAGAAGCCAAAATATCACTTTCTTCTGAAGTGAACATAGGAAAATGTGTTTTGGAACTGTTTGTGTCACCTAACACAAGCTTAAAACACACTGTAAGGGAGCAAACACTTGTGTTTTGGATATTTAACTAGAATAGAGAAGAGGTCTTTATTTTTAAGATTTACAATCCACTGGTGCAGGCACCAGTTCAACACAGCCATCCAAAATTCTACTCTTCCATGACTAATTGAGTTTATTCTAAAATCTCTGCTTCGAAAAGGCTTATGAACAACAGCCCAAAACAAACAAAAATGTAAATGCACCACACAGCTAAGCAATCGCATGGTATTACTTGCACCAATCTTGTCAATTTTATTCATTCTCATTTGAAATTAGATTGTACAGTTAGTAGGAAAGGTAAAATTGTAAATTTTGTCAGTGCCATATACGTTTATTGCACTATACAAAAAAAAAAAAAAAAAAAAAAAAAAAAAAAAAAAAAAGACAGAGACAGACAGACAACTATTGCTACTACACCACATACTGAACCTCTCTTGTCCAGTACCCTGGGACCTGACCGGTGCCAAACCAGAGAATTTGCCCGACACAGGATGTCAATATTGTCTAGCAGCATTACCAACATTTCCATTGCTTACTGGGCTCTTAGAAGACATTTAGGAGTAAATTATAGTTAAATAGCAGCACAGAAAACTTAGAGCCAGGACTGGTGGCTGCAAACAAACTTTGGGACTGCAGGAAACATGGCCACATCCATGATAAGCGGACACTGAGCTAACTAAAATCATGCCAGACCATGATTGTCGTCAAGCCAAAGAGTGCTGGACTAAAGAGGTTCAACCTATAGTAGTAGTCTGTGCAGAAATAGGAATCTTTAGCTTTTGTTTTTTTCTGACACATTATCTGCATGCACAAGCACTAATGTAGTGCACAGTATTAAAGCAATAAACTGATTTCTAACAGAGTGCTAAGATTTAGCCACCCATGTCCATTCAAATTACAGTAAGACAATACACAGACTTCATGAATTACTTCCAATGCCAGTTTCCAGCTGTAATACCACCAAATGTTTATCAACAAACCTAGCAACATTTATCACCTTGTACTGTATAACCAGGAGTCTTCTACTAGGTTTACTTTCCTGCTAATGCTAATGAATTACTGCTGCCTTGAAAAAGACTTCACCTGAATCAGCAGAAAGGCTAGCAAGAAACCACTCCACACCCTGACTAACCCATTTACCTCCTCCTGTTGCGTGCAGGTGTGTTGCATCGTTCCCCTGAGAAGTGATGTTGGTTGGGTCGAGCTGAAGGAGGCTGCCTATTTGATGTCATCTCCCATGGTCGCATTGGCGGCGATGGGGCTGGTGATGCTGCTGTGTAGTCAAAGACTGAATGAGAAAGGCGTTGTCTCTTCGGACTTGGACTGTCTTCACTCTGCAAATTCAAAAAATAAACCCACTTGAGTGAGTCACACCCTGCACACACTGTTCTGTACTATTAGTGCAGGTTACATCTCTGGGGGAAAATCCTGAAGTAGACTGTCTACATTCAAAACTAAACAGTGCATAAAGGCAATGGAAACCTCTTTATGGTTTCCCAACAACTACATTTGTATTAAAGAATTTAGTGCAATATTTTTAAAATTCTAATATTGTGCTAAAAACAAAATGATCAAAGATACAAAGGTAAAAAAAAGTTTGCTTTGAAAGAATGAGGATGGGAGGGTCTAATGTATAGGCTCTTCAAAAAAGTGTTGCTGGCTAAGTACAAATATCATGCCAATGGGATCCATATTTGTCAGTCATTAAATATGTAGCCATATGGAGTTTTAGGTCAACACATGCACCCAATATCCACCAAGAGGATGATCATTATCCATCTTACACGTCGGATTTGTACCGCGGTCAATTTTAATTTTATGAACTCAGCTCAGATGTGTCTCCTGCCTTTAACTTGTTACCACAAGACTGACAATTAACAAGCTTACAGAGAATTGGACAAAAGCGTCAGCTAAGTTAATGTAAATTTACTTGAAAAACTTACCTGGCTGCCTACCTTTTTCCTGATCCAAGCACTTATTTTGCTGACAAAGAATTCTAACAGACTATGGGGTGCCAAATTGCTCCAACACCACCTCAATTTTATTATCTGACATAATAGGTATTGGGCAATAATCTCCCAACATCTTCTGGTACAAAGACAACTGATGCAGAGAAAATTCAGCTTCTCTGCTATGGCCTTGTCTACCTCAATTTCTCTTTTTACTCATATAGGTTGAACCTCTCTAGTCTGGCACTGTTGGGACCTAACTGGTGCCAAATGAGAGAATTTGCTGGACTATGGGAAGTCAATATTATAGTGAGTGGGTGTGTCTCTTTTTCTTTCACTAAGGCAAATAAATGGAATAGCGCTTGCAATGCTGCTTAATATAGGACTATATCGGCACAAGGAAATAAGTAGATAAAGGATAAAAACATGCTTACACTTAGCAGCTTTACCAGAACTTCCACTGCTTACTGGGCTCTTACCACACATTTAGGGTTAACGGAGCTAAACAACAGCACTCAAGACAGGGACTATAAAACAAACTTCACAGGACTTCAGGAAACTTGACCATACCCACAAGAAGCGCACAACCGACCAACTAAAATCATTCTGGGCACCAGATGTTGCCAGACCAGTGTGTGCCAGACTAGAGGTTCAACCTATAGTCCCCCATGACCTACTCATTCTTTTGCAAGCTGCTTTGCTTCAGAAATACTTCAAGAACTTGTGTCTCTGTGGCAATCTATTCTTCAAAAATCCCTCAAGTCCTCATAAAACCGTAGAGGGGGAGGGATAGCTCAGCAGTTTGAGTATTGGCCTGCTAAACCCAGGGTTGTGAGTTCAAGCCTTGAGGAGGCCCTTTAGGGATCTAGGACAAAATCTGTCAGGGATGGTACTTGGTCCTGCTGTGAAGACAGGGGACTGGACTCAATGAGCTTTCAAGCAAGGTCCCTTCCAGTTCTAGGAGATAGGCATCTCCATTCATTTAACATACAAGTGCATATATACTTTATTTTACCTGCCATGGTTTACATGATATGTATCGGTTTCACTAATGCTGCATTTCCATTTTTAGAAGAATACATATGTGGTGTGAATATTTCTCTTCATCTTGGACAATTAACCACCTCTCTAATCTTCCTGTTTTCCTTTTCAGTTTAGGAATACACACTCTTTTTGTATCTATTACAAACTAAGGATTTTACTTTCATACATTTTTGCTCTAAGGCACCCTTCTTTTCCCTTTCTAATGCTAAGTGTACAGTGACAGGTTTATTTTTTATATGATATTCTGCCTTAAGGATGTAGTACTTAAATTATAAATCACTAGTAGCTGTTAGGCTAGGATTACTTTTTTGACCAACTTCTGTATCTCAGAAGTAAGTGAAGAAAAACCTTTCCTCATGTGTGCTTTAGGATGAGGTATTCCAAGAAGCACTCCATACATCAAGCAACCTATTTCTCTAAATCTTGCTCCACTGTGATATTTGAAAAGTTTAGATGCTGGTACCTGAAGTTTCCCATTATCATTCCATTGATTTAGCTGCTTCTTTGATCTCCCTCAAAACTACATTCAAAATCCTCTTCCCAATTGTTCCACCAACTGCTTAACTTTACTAGTGGTAAGGAAGGAGAAAAGGGTACAGCATGAAAGCTTAGTAAGCAGTACCTTTGGTATGCTTCAAGTTCCTACTTTGATTTTTAAAAATTATATTTAAAAGTCACAAGGACAGGGTTTCAAGGTTCATAGCCAAAATGAGAATTTCCAAAGACAGTCTTGGAAAAGGGAATTGTATGCTTAAGGTGAGATCCAGAAATATGTGCATATAGGGAAACGGCAAAAAGGCCAGACACTCTGGGAGACTACAGAGAACCACATGAAAACAGTTACAGCTGGGAGGATGAGACCAAAGTGTACAATGAGCTGGCAGAGGGGGTAAAGCCTAGGAAATGGTACACCGTCAACTGTACTCCTGACACACATTGTACCAACCACTGTTGGTGAGAATGCTTTAAAGCTACGGTTTTGCTAACCACCTTTGCATTGGTAATGTCATGTATCTGCACCCTTTGGCACTCAATGTTTAAATATCCCTCACTCCTGCCCCCAGCGCCTCCAAATGTCCAAAAAGCATATTTAGCCTGCAACAGTGGCTCCTAGGTTATTTTCTCTTTGAGGAGATGTAATCCAAACCCAGAACACAGCTCATGAGTTTAGAGATGGCAGAGACATGCCAAACTAACAAGCTGCTAGGCAGTTACCCCTTCACCGTTCCAAATGACTTTAGCACAGCGCTACTCAAAACTCCATAACATGTGCTAATTGCCTTCTATGTTAAACAGTATTTCCATCCCAACTTGCCTTCCATTAGAAAGAAAATAACCATGAAATCATTTCCTGAACTACATTATAAGCATGCTTTTAAAAAAGCAAATTGTTTTTCTTAACTGAAAAAATAACCTAATGCTAAACCCTAACTTCTTCATAAATTAGTGTCATTAAGAAAAAATATTGGTACTTTTTCTTGACTAATTAAGAAATCAATTTTCATGAGATGATTGTAACAGGGTTACAAGAGCATACCGTAAAAAGTAACAGGGAATTAGTGGCAGAAACAAATCCCATACAAATTAAGATCTGTTTACATTTCAGTTTCACTGACACCATGGCAGAGTTGGCCACAAACTATAAATCTGCAGTCTATAATACCCTAAAGTTGGCAAATGTGATGCTATATTTGTACACTATGTCATTTGTAGCAACATTTACATCTATCTCCTCAAACCCTAAACACAAAAAAGGTGAGCTGACCATGCCAGTGTTCAACAGGCCAGCTCAGAGTACCTGGACTCTCTATTTTGCTGATATGTTCTTGTGTTGTCTGTTTTTAATCGCTGTCAAACAAGCAGCAAGAACAGAATAACATTGCCTGATAGCTATAGAAGATCCAGTTTATTTTTATTAATTACATAAATTGATGTGAGAAAAGCCAGGAACTAAAAGATTATACTGATTCAAACATGAATTTCTAGAAGAGCAAGCAACATCTGCACAAAACAGAACATTTCATACATCAAAGCAGCAATGCCAGAAAGACTTCATGATACACGTCCCATGTTACTACTAAAAGATGATGAAGCTTATGCCAAGGCAGAATTAGGGCTGAAATTAAATCCATAAAAGTCAGGAAATTCAACTAAAAGATTATACTGATTCAAACATGAATTTCTAGAAGAGCAAGCAACATCTGCACAAAACAGAACATTTCATACATCAAAGCAGCAATGCCAGAAAGACTTCATGATACACGTCCCATGTTACTACTAAAAGATGATGAAGCTTATGCCAAGGCAGAATTAGGGCTGAAATTAAATCCATAAAAGTCAGGAAATTCACGAGTAATGCTCTCAAAGTGTATCTATACTCTTTACCTTGCACCTGCG